TGATAGAAACTCACAGTTTAACAACATGGAGGTTTTTTTTTTTTTTTTCCCTCTTCCCCCTGCATGACAGAAGAATAAATCTTGTGCAGTATTTGACCCTTGTAGATAGAAAGCATCAATATTTTTAACATTGAATTATATTTGTATTTAATAAGCATTAAAGCTGAAGTGGTTCACATTAGTATGTGGCAGAAAGAAATTTAATTCGGTTTTAAAAATTGTGGGAAATTCAGTCAAAGATTTTTGTGGAAACTCAAGTTTTGTGTCACTCAGTAGCTCAACAGCTTCCTTTTGGGCTTTAATGGCAGATGATTAATGTCATTTAATATAATTTCTTAAAAATTCTTACTAATGGCATTTCTTTGAATTCATGTATCTGAATACAGTACAAAGTCCGAAATCCGGACTCGTTGGGACTTCGGTGATTCCGGATTTGGAATTTTTCTGGATAGTAGATCATCAGTTTAAATTTAGTAAGATGGCATGTAGAAATTATAAAATTAAAATATGAAATCATGATTAATAAAATAATGAAGTATTTATGATGTAAAGGATATCAAAACTTACAAAAAAAGCTTAATATTTATTTGTTTCCCTTATTAAACATTTCTTTCAATGTAAGTTGTTTAAGTTTAGTTTTTTGTGCTAATACTTTCTGTTTAATTCTGTAGACAGGCATAATCTCTTGTTCAGTTACATTGTTGAAGTCCTGTAACTGCGTTCCGACTAACTTGTCAATCGAAATTTTTTTCGTTTTCAGTAACTTCTCTGTCACTTTCTTCTGGATCTAGAACTACACTACAGATTTCATCATTCAATAATTGATTGAGGATTGAGAAGCATTGTCATCACAATGAAAAACATCTTTTATATCATCTTAATTTATTATCGCTTCTCCACATTTCTTTACAAAATCCGTTAATTGGAAAATATCACCTTTGTTTTACAATATCCCAAAACCTTTAAAATTAGCGGCTATCATTATCAAATTTAATTATCGTTCACTATATACATGTAAGATAACAATGTATGAATCAGAATTATAATATAACTATAAACATTAATTCTTCCTCTCTATTCTAAAATCGTAATAACTTATCTGCATTGCGTCATTCAAATTAATCATGCGATCTTACGTAACCGTTAATACCAGATGCCTCTTGACGACCAATCACCGAATTGTAAACCAAAACTTTTCTCTTCGCGTGCTTCCATCTTTCATAACAACGCACTTCAGCTTTTGCTCTCTACTGTGCTAAGATGTAATTTCGCTGGCTTGCTTTCTATCCCAACAATATCAAAAATGTAAATCTTCTGTGGAAAGGCACAACTAGAGTGCCAAGTGATTGTGGCCACAAATATCAATTGGAAATAAAAATGGAATTAAAACTGCCTCGACTGCCAAGCTCTTTAAATACTACGCAATCAAAATTCTTCTTCAGTATGGGTCTAATCACGCATCTACAGTGTTCCGTCAGTTCCTTTGCTTTTATTATAACAATTAACTTGTAATTAAATGTAATGCACATTGGAAAATTTTTCTTTTTGAAGGGGGGAAATATGTAAGATAACAATGTATGAATCAGAATTATAATATAACTATAAACATTAATTCTTCCTCTCTATTCTAAAATCGTAATAACTTATCTGCATTGCGTCATTCAAATTAATCATGCGATCTTACGTAACCGTTAATACCAGATGCCTCTTGACGACCAATCACCGAATTGTAAACCAAAACTTTTCTCTTCGCGTGCTTCCATCTTTCATAACGACGCACTTCAGCTTTTGCTCTCTACTGTCCTAAGATGTAATTTCGCTGGCTTGCTTTCTATCCCAACAATATCAAAAATGTAAATCTTCTGTGGAAAGGCATTACTAGAGTGCCAAGTGATTGTGGCCACAAATATCAATTGGAAATAAAAATGGAATTAAAACTGCCTCGACTGCCAAGTTCTTTAAATACTACGCTATCAAATTCTTCTTCAGTATGGGTCTAATCACGCATCTACAATGTTCCGTCTTTTCCTTGTGCATTTATTTTGACATACATATTTGGCTATGCTTCATGAGCTTGGCGACTAACGACAGGTTGTTCCATTAAATTTTATCTTGCTTCTATCGCGCATTGTGACAATTAAGCCTAAATTGTATTAGTTATTCATTATACTTATGTCTATTTCTTGCACAGATCTGAATAAATAAATTTCCACATATACTTAAGCCCTTATTAAGTGCAGCTGCTAGATATCTTACCGCCTGATGCAGCCTCAGTGGGTCCTAAATTCTGCAGCCATACCGAGACCTGGCGCTGGTTCTGGGTTTATGTGAATAACAAATCAGTTATTCCTAATTCAAATAGCCCTAAATGTAATCTTTGGGTCTATGAGTATCATCAACAAAATCTATTTTTAGCATATGGAAAGAAATGTTTAACAAAAATCTCGTCAATCATTTTTTTAGTGTATTTAAACTAAAGCTGTATTATGCCAAGCATAATATCAACATGAAAGTTACCATACCTCCTTTATTATTCAATTACTAACATAAAAAAATTGCTTAGGCATTGCTACATGAGTCATTATCCTCAAGTTGTCATGTTTGATAAGCATGCGGTGATGAAAGGAAAGTATAATAAATAATGATTCGCCACCAAAAATTATTGTCTATTGGTTTCGTCATAGAAAATGAATGTTTCTATGAACAATGTGTCTATGTGGAATGTTTTGGTTTGAGATACGCATGTGCAACAGAGCCAAATTACTGATCTTACAATTTTATGCTAAAATGATTGTGTCTTCAATAACAAGGTATTTTATTTAGTGTCAAAGGGAAATTAAGAATCAGAACTTTCCAGATGTTTTATTATGCAACGGGGGGGGGATTAAATGCAAATGCATAAATGTTGTTGAAAAACATTTTTGGTGATTTTGAGGTCCAGATTTTAGATCATTCCGGATAATGGATGTCTGAATTTCGGACTTTGTTCTGTATATCATAATTATAAAATACTAAGATGAAAAAAGTATGTAGATTTTCTTAATCACAACAATAACTAATCTTTTACAATTTGTTATGTAAATGGTATATCATCTCAATGCAAATGCTACGCGTTGCCTTACACGATTTTCGCGCAGCAGAGCTTTCCCCCCGATGTTGGGCTGAAGAGGGAATTTTCGGAAAGTGCCTTTTGATGCTATTTCCCTCTTGGCATCAAAAATTTCCTCCCGAGGATATGGCGATTTTTCGTGATTCAAGATGGTGGAAAAAATCGCACTAAGTGCCGCTTATCTGAGTTTTCCCAAATGCTGTGTTGCAGAAATTTACTCAAATATTAATTTCTCACAAAGTGCTTGATTCACTTTCAGATGACGTAGCACTTTGCTTTGCATATCAGAAACTGTTTGATCACTGTGGCTTGGATTATGCTAATTAGGCTTATCTGTCACACATTCCCTGGTAAAGCAGATGGTACATATTATCACTTTTTACTTTCATGAATAAGGATATAAATAAACTTTTCACCATATTTTTTCTTGTTTCTTGAAAAACATGATTAAAATTTGGAATTTTTCTTCAACAGAACAATAAATAATATATCATTTTCAAAGTTGTGGGATCTTACCATCAAAAAATGACATGATGGATCTATTCATTCATGTTATATATTTCTGTTATTGTTGTTGCTTGAAAAATTGCATTTACATTTTATATTTTTTACATTTTACTGTGTACGATAACAGCTATCATTTTTATGATTTTAAGGTGCTTGAATGTTCTTTATTTGTATAAATAACTCTTTGGTCAAGTGTAAATACAAAATATCTGCGGCCTATAGGTCTTGAAGAAGGATGGTATTTAGTGAAATTTTACGCGGAGTATATTTCTTAAATTCACGCGGAGTTGAAACTTATTTTAAGGACATCAAAGTGAGTGAAGCTGCGGGTAAAGCTAGCTTGCATAATATTTCAGTCAGTAATGTTTTCAGATTTTGAGAACCGAATCTTAATATTAACCAATCAGGATAAAGTTAAACTGAAACTCTCATTCTGAATTGTGTGTTCATCTTAGACACATAGCATTCCTGCTCATGCGTGTTCTGCCAACATGTCGCCATTTACTTCTGTTTGGTCACTTGTACTGTCATATTGATATAAAAAGGCAAAAATGTGATCAAGATTGATCATACAGAATATGCCATTGCTGCTATGTAAATCAAGTTAAGAATAAGTTTCTTAAGGATTGTTTTGTCCTGGAAAGAAATGTGTTCAATTGACCATGAATGCTGCTTTGTGTTTGTGTTAACTTGCAAATCATCACATATATTTGCATGTACTTCCATGTCTGAAGAATGTTTAATTTATCTTCTTAGAATTTTGTATGATTTATGGTTTTGATCTTGCAGTAAAAACGCATGAACATTTACCTCTTATATATTTTTTTGGAATTCATTCCCCCATCCCTTTTATTGGTAATTTTCCTCTTTCCTATGTGGTTGTCTTGCTTTGGTATTTTTGCTATTTGACATCTCGGTTTATAGGTATTTTGAATTTCTTAAACATATTTATAACACCTGAATCATTAACCTCTGTTATGTATTTCTTGGAATTGAGTAGCATTCCCATCCCTTTCACTGGTAATTTTCCTTTTTCCTATGTGGTCTTCTTGCTTTGGTATTTGTTGCTATTTCACATCTCAGTTTATAGCTGGTTTGAATTTTTTAACATATTTATAACACCTGAATCATTAACTTCCATTATGTATTTCTTGGAAATTAGCACCATTCCCCATCCCTTTTATTGGTTATTTTCCTCTTTTCTAAGTGGTCTTTTTGCTTCAGTTTATAGTTATTTAAAAAAAAAATTAACATATTTATTCCCAGATGTTTACATTTTTACTTTACGCCAGTGAGTTAAAAGTTTCCACCTACTGTCAAAGTTATTATTCGAACATTTAATTTCATGTCTTAAAAAGTATGTAAGATTACTGTTATTTCTTAGGGTGGTAATGGAATATCTGACAATATGGGAAGTTCAAGGCAAAAAGTTCCTCTTCTACAATTTACTGTAAGTACTATTGCAGATTCTTATTATTTGAACCTTCATCGCTTTCTAACTTAAAGAGTAGTTTTTTCCTTAATTTTTAAAAATTTTCCCTCTCATTCAGTTTCTTTGTATTTAATCTTTCTGTGATGCTTATCATTGTAAAATGATATTTTTTCTATTTCAAAGGTCTTCTAGCTCAAATTTTAGTTGTCTGCTTTTTAAAGTAATTTCTGATTTTCTTAACAACTGAATTGAATGTCATAGTATAAGATATTTTCCATTTTCAGACCGACATAAATCCGGCTATTTTTTCTGGTCCAATTCCTCTTCCTCTGAATCCTTCATCTAATAGAGTAAGTTCTGTGCTTAAGATTTACTTGTTTTTTATGGTACTTGTTGGGCATTCGGTGCCTGCCAATAAATAGCCAAAAATATCATTTATAGCACTGATTCTTTTAGCTCTGAGAATTTAACAACCATAGAATTGTTTCCAGATTCTTTACAAAATTGAGCTTTTTGTTTATTTTTCTCTTCTTTTTAATACCTTCTCCCCCTTTTTTAAATTTCAGTCTCATTTTCAATTCTGAGATTGCATTTACATGCAAACAATAGAAACATAATTTTGATCAGCAAAATGGAGGAATAAGTGGCAGTGTGGTACAGTTCCTCATTGTTTGTCTTCTTACATATTAAGAATGCATACTGTGGTTAAGATAAGCTGAAAAAAATTTTAATCCATTTGATGCCATTTTGAAATGTGAATGCGAAAACAAAATCTGACAGAAATAAATTTTAAAAAAAAACTGGATTTCATCACCGTAAAGCATCAATAGATCGATTAGATTATTCAATGGTATATTGGCAGTTACCGAACAACTAACAAGTACCTTTTTTGTTTAAGATTGGTGTGGTGATCTTAGTAATCTTAGTAATCTTAGATTTAATCAGTATCGGCATGTATTGGAAAGGCCAATTTTGGCTAAAAATGCCAATTTTCTTTTGTTCATTCATTGGATCGATTGATTATTTAGCTTTCCAAAAAAGGTCTGTGTCTGTTTCTATGTTAATTAGAAAGAATTTTTATAAACACGAAAAAATGGGAAATGTACATTTTAAATCGGCGAAAGTCTTCAGTCAAAGAACAGAAATGGGCATGAACAGTTTTTTTTTTTTTTTTTTAAATATATATATATATAATTTAAAAGGCGGAGAAAAGAGAGGAAAATAAAAGAACCTTTTCTATAATTTCTGCAGCAACATGAAATTACTTCAAATAAAATGCAATATTTTTATTGTTTGCATGTCGATATCGTATGCTTCTCACTAGCATACGAGGTTGAATTAGATTTATATTAGTCTTTGATTATTTTTACTAACATTTGAGTTAAAAGTCTAGTGAGAGATGAAAAAAAAATCGAAGTAAACATAAATTTCTGAAATGGGTTACAAAGGAAGTAAAATGTGATGTTAATAAAGCAATTAAGTGGACTAAAACTAAAAGGTTGCTCATCGACAGATGAATTTGAAAGTGGTTTGTGATGTGAAAGGTATATGTTTAAATAGTGTTAGCAAGCATGAATGCACAGGTCATATTCAGAAGTGCTGTTCCAGGTGTAGAAAATTAAAGGGGGGAAGGTCTTGTTTGACTGATCAACGATGCTCACTATCTTTTTTTGTCTTTATTGACAAACTTCAAAATTACTATGGAGTTACAACCAGGAGCAATGTATGTAACTTAAAGGAATAGAAAGTACCATAATTGCTCCATTTTTTCACATTTTCTTTTAGTGCAAAATAACCTATGCATGGTCAGTGTCCAGTTGGACAAGACACATGGTGTAAATATCAGCGAGCTGCATCAGTTGTATGCAGACAAATCCAAAGGACTGCCCAAGAATGTTACTCATAGTCTTAAGCCTGTATACAAAAGCTATATGAGCAGAAACTCTTATAAAAGTGCTTATAAGGAAAGACAAAATGCGAACAAAAGTTTAAATGGTATTTTTTGGAAATTTATGCCAATAGATGTGTCTGTGGAATTAGGGGCATATATGGCTATTATACAATTTAACAGAGGGTTTTGAGATTTACTAGGTATTCTAAATTGTATAGATATACAGTATGGTGTATATGAAATCAAAGGATTTAGTAAGCTCGAGATGGAGCAAATAAATGAATCAAAGTGTCATTCATTACCCAGAGTAAAAATTGCCAGAAAAAACAAACAGGCTGAATTTAAAAACCAAAACAGATAAAGCTAAGCAAAAGGAAGGTGGGACCTATAGATTTAAGGAGCTTTAAGTATCTGGATGAAAATTTAATAATAAGAATATAGCATCTTGAACTTTAAATGCATCTGCTTACGTGGTGCAAAGATAGATCTAATTATTGTTATTTTATTTTTATAAAACATTGTATATTTGATCTGTATAAAGTTATTTAGAGAATGACAGACCAGAATATTTATATGTTCAATATTTTTGAAATTGCAGCCTCTTATTAAAATAATGACATTGTGAATTTGTTGAAAAATCTCATATAAAAACTTCAATATTCTGAATTTTTTTTTTTTTTTTTTTTTTTTTTTTTTTTTTTTTTTTTTCAAGATATCCTTAAAATTATACCTCATTCTCTAGATAAAATGATGTAATTTATGGTATTACTTTTTTATATATAACTGCAATAATTTTTCATGTGGGATGTTTCAAATTGTTCTAAAATTTGCTTAAATTTCACATATATTTAATATTGTGTGCAGGATAATAGTATATATTAGACTTTGATATTCCATAATTAATATCTGTAAAAAAGAAATGAAAAAAAACTATATATTAGTGTATCCATACTGTGTTTTCGAGGGGAAAAAGTGCTCCGAATGTGTTTGGATACTAAAAGATTGGTGTGGTGATGTTAATAATCTTAGATTTATTCATTCTGTAAAGCATCCAGTTTATAATAGTTTGAACTTGATGAGCATTTTTTCTTAAGCAGCTCTATTAATACCTGAGTGCTGTATCTTTGAAAAGGAATTTCATTAATGTAAAGTTGTAAAGAAAATCACATTAATACAAATAATCTGTCAAAACTGAGAAAAATTATTATTATTTTATTTTTATGAAATACTGTATACTTAGTCTGTATATAGTTATCTAGTAACATACAAGAATATTTATATGTTAACATAACCAGTTCTTCCATGAACATGGTTAAAAACTAGAGCAATTAAACATTTAAAACTTATCTACCAGTGGGTAAAAAACAAATTATTTTCATTCATTTAAAAAACAAATAGTAATCATTCATTTTGTTTATTAAACCAATAATTGGTATATAAGTAAGATAAAATTTTTTATTCCTTTTAATGAATAATGTGTCATTTAACTGCCAGTTTTACAGTTTTTTATCCTCAGTAGTGTAACTGTTTGTCATTATTAAGAGCTTGTAATTATTCAGGGGGGGGACTTTAGAGATGAAATTTTGTTTACTTTGAGATATTGTGCTTTTTTTTTTTTTTTTTTTTTTTTTTTAATTAGTTTGGGAGAGCATTGGTTTCAGCCATTTTACATAAATTTGCTCAGTATATTGTTAGCAAGTGTAATACCTAATCCTTCATGGAGGGTTTGTTTCAATAAATAAAAAACTGGCATCAGTCTAAGCATTATTTTTGTCTTAAAGTTAAATTTTATTACAATGTATGTTTTCACATTTCATGTGTTATATGATCTATAGCTTTGTTTTCATTCTCAAAAGTATACATGTAAATATTAAATCTGAAATTGTTAAATTTTATAGAATCAGTTTGGTGGAAATTTTCGAAATGATAACTATGGTGGTGGCTCAGAAAACTCTCATGAACGTAAATTCAGTCGCAGAGATTCATATGGATATAATGATGAAGAAGAGAGGAGACCAAGACGTCATGAAAGAGATCGTTATGACAGAGATAGAGATTACGATAGAGGTCGAGATCGTAGTCGTGAGAGGGATAGGGGTCGGGATCGCGTTCGGGAGCGATCTTATGATCGAGATGAAGATAGAAGAGATCGAGACCGAGACAGAATGATGTCACGAGAACGTGATTGGAGGGAAGAGATTCCTAATAATACTCTGATGGTACGAGGATTAGATGTTAGTGTAACAGAATCAGAAGTAAGTGATTGAAACAAAAATTTGCTTATATAGGAAATTTTTTCAAATCTTTTTATTTTGTATCTACTTATTAAAACCTGTCTTTTTTAGATTTGTGTTTTCTGTGTATAATCTCTGCATGTTTAAATAACTGTGTGTATTGAAAACTCAATTATCCATCTCCTCTCTCTCTTCCTCCCCCCCCCCTCAGCCACTCGTATAGTTCATTGAATAAAAAGAATCACCAAGAAAACAATTAATAAATAAAAATCTAAAAGATTTCAGATTTTAAATTACGTTCAAATGGGTGTTTTTTTTTTTTAACATTTTGTCTGTTACCTTTATTTATTAAATGTCACGTTCTTCGCACTTAGATCATAAAATTCAGTTTAAGAGCAATATCGCAAAATAGTTTTAAATTGAGCAAATCTTTAGAATTTCTCATACATAGACTCACGCGCTGGAGATAAAAATGTTTTTTCTGTACAATGTTGCCATTGCTCGTTTTGAAGTCTTTGAGTTTGTTAATCAAAAATTTGCTAAAGATTTACAAAATATGAAATAGATAGTAAAACAAAATTCAAATATTGGCTTCCACATGCCCATATTCACAGTAGTATTATGTCATTCAAAATTCGTTGGTTCTATGTACCATTGTTTTATCACAATGTGAGAAATATACATATATGCAGATTTTTCATTCTTTAATTTCATCAAATATAATTCAGGCCAATAGTATATGGTGGCAACGATTTTAAAAGTGATACAGCCTTTTAAAGTTTTTACTGCAAAATCACAAAACAAAAACAATAGTCCCTCAGGAACAAAGCCCCTTTGGACTAAAGATCTATAAAATTCTGTTTACCTGCCACTCAATTCTTTCATTTTAGACTCCTTCTTTTTCTTAAAATGGTGGCAACAGTTTGAAAAGTGAAACGGACATTTATAGCAAAAACAATAGCCCTTCAGGGACAAAGCCCCTTTGTGCTAATAAGTTTAAAATATTCATAATTTTAGCCTTTTTATACAATAAAATGCAATTGTTCTGTTGCTGTATTAAGAATAAAAGGCTAAAATATTAATGAGTATGATATTGAACTAACATTACACTGAAAGTTTGGTAATCACAGAACATAATGTTCTAATCACATAGCATTCCATTCTTTAATATAATTTTAACAAGATTTTGTATTGTCTGATGTAATAATAAAAGTGTATGTTCGTAAAATGCGTATCTGCACTATGGCATATATTTCAAAGCTTTGACAAAATTAAATAACCTGATATTAAATAAATTACCAGAATTTAAAAGTCCTTTTATTATAATAGCTTTTTTAATGCATTTCTGAGTATTTTGATTCTTTCTTTCTCAGTAAATTAAAAAAGTACTTTTTGCATCTAGAAATAATCTGGAAATGTAATTTTATGATAATGTTTATAAATTTAACTGCTATATTATCCTCAAAATTAAACTAAGTTTTATATTAATTCTTGCTCAAGAAGATGCATTAGGCCTCTTTTTAAAAAGATTTTTCATACCCAACAATGCATAAAATATATTTACTAGGTACTATAATATTACTTACATTTATTCATTTTGCATTTGCTGATTTACTAGAAACTTCATAGATTCATGTACAAGCATCTGCATTTATTCGTCATTCACTGAGAAAATTTACATATGTTAAAAATTACAGACGTGTTGTCTTTTTCTGAGGATCATTTTCATAAAACTCAAGTCCCAAATTCAGATCTGAATTTCTTGCATTTCTATTTCCTGTAGAACCATTGGTCATAATCTCATATCTAGCAATAGATCTATTCCTAAATAAGCCCTCCTTGATCATGTAGTCTGCAGTGGCAATACAGCTATTGGTGATTTTAACCCTTTAACTGTCGAGTTATTTTGATGATTTGGGTTACACAAATTGTCAAATTTTTTTCAAATGTTTAGTACAAAATAAAATATACTTAGGTAGTTAAAAATTGATATTTTGAAGTATATGGGTAAAATTTTTGAAGTTTTGTAGCCACTACGTATTTGCTTGAGGCGGCTGCCACTCAACATGGCAGTTGTAAAGTTCGCTTCTAGTAGAGCATTATTATTTTATAAAAATGAAAGAAAATGAATTATTTTCTAAAAAATAAATAAATGAAAAAATAAAGAAAAGTGAAATACGTATTAGTAGTTCAGTAATTCAGTCTTTGTGGTACAACTAGAAAAACTTTTCCAAGCACAAAAACCAACTCCACAATCACTACACCGAACCGTGTTTCCTTCCTTATCTTTTTCCCATTTTATCCTTTTTCAAATAACACACTTTGCACTGTCTTGTAGGCTCACGTTTCACAGGAGTAGAAGGAATACAGGAAATAAAATGTCGTTCAGTAAGATGGGCAGGGTTATCTATTGTAGGTGTTCTGCCAACTTCTTTTGTCCAGAAGCTGCATCATCATATTTATGTAAAAGCTCTTCTACAACTTGGATTCGAAATTCTAAAAATGTAATACGTTTCCCAAATACATTTTTATAGAGTAAATATGAGTTCCAAAGTACCTTGTCTAGTAAATGTAAAAATATCTTTTTATAATATTTTTTCTGACGTTTTCGGATTTTTGGATGAAAGGATATTTCCTGATCACAGCGATCTACACCACCCATAGTTAGACTGTAGTCAGAAACAATCTTCGGCTTGAGTATATCTTCATTTTTTATTTGTTTTTTTTTTTTATTTTTGAGGCTGACCATGGAAGTATCATAAATACTGCTCATCAAATACACATCCTTTCATCTTCGGTTGAAGAATCTAAATCATCTATATAACATTTCAAAGAAAGAAGACGCCATTTTACAACAAAAAGATCCCTGTGCACTTTGAACCAAAGCACTTATAACCTCTAACCTTTGAAATCTTCAGTTAAAGTGCTGTCATCTATTGAATTGAGCGCACATTAACTTTCCCCGGAGATACAGTCGGGTTTAGACAAAGAGATGAAGCCTGAAATAAAACGTCTCCCGATATATATTCGGGTATAACAATACGATGCACTCAAAAAAAAAATTACCCCGAGTAATACTCGGGGTGACATTTTCGAACACCAGTGCTGTGCCCGAGATTAACTCGGGCATGACAGTTAAAAGGTTAATGCCGAGAAGTCTTCACCCACATCACTACCAGAAAATTTCCATGCTGATTTCTCTCTATTCTATTTTCGATGTAGTTATTGATTTTCAAGTGCAAATGGCCCTTGAATGACTTTTTTTGTTGTAATATCAGAAGTCTAAAGACAAGCAATCGTTTCTATACAATTTTTTTTTTTTTTTTTTCAAGGAAATGCTGTTAGTCCTTGGCTAAATCCCAGATTACCAGACCTATTTGGTCACCTCGTAGAACAAATAGTGCTTGAAACTTGTTCAGTCTTACCTATCTATCTTGTATTCGTTGCTAAGAATAGTGATAATTAGAGGCAAGTCTTTCTTTCCATTCAGGTGAGTATTCAAAATACAGGTAACCACATATATGTGTGGAATTAAGGGGAGGGTATAGATTGGCAAGACTTCCTGCTGATGAAATGTCTTTTGAGATTTTTGATCTAAGAACATTGCAATTTTATATGTAGAAATCATGTTAGAAAGAAATTTCATTTAAAAAATTTGATGTGGTCGACTTAAGGGCAAGTGCACATTGAATAGCTTCAATATCTTTTAACTTGAATACTGTTATCTTTTTAAAGACAGTTAAGTTAGTATTGTTGAAAGGAGCTGTCTGTCCTCTGTTATGATGCTTTATTCAGGGAATATATCTACAGTACAATTGCAAGAATAAATGCTTGAATGTGATGCTCAGAACTTTTGCTCTTTTTTCTGTAGTCCATTCACAGATGATCTTGCAACCCAGAAAATAACAGTTGCAGACTCTATCCACACTTAGTCTTAGCATTTCCCTTGTCCACATGTTAACTGAGGTTAATCATAATTTTGTGGCCATTTTTTGAAATGTATCATCTCTTTTCAGAAAACTATAATTCATATCCTGGAAGTTCTCTAGGATTGCTTTCTTATACTTGATAAAATAGTCCTTTCTGATATTTTCTGATTATTTGCAGGCCCACTGAATAGATGTGAACATGTTGACAACTGCGTTTTCTTTGAGTTAATACACAAAAGTTTCAAAATGAGGGCTTAATAAGAATTCCTTTCAACAGCAGTCTGTTGATAAAGTTAAAAAAGGCAAGAAACATCAATAATAAAACATTTTCCTTTTTTCAAGAAATTCTTCTTTTTTTGCAGTGTTTTCCCTGAGTTTACAACGATTTGTATTTACTAAAAAAGCATCAGAGAATTGTGCAAATTCTGCATCCATTGAATTATCAACTAAAACAGACATGTGCTACTTTGGTTGCCGCATAAATACATTCAGTGGAATAATGAGTTACCAAATAACTATTTTGGCTGCGTATTGAATGAATACCTCATGAATACTTTTTCATGTTTATCGTCGGAGATGAAGTATTTTCTTTCTTTTTGCACTCATCTTCTGTGAAGATCCAGATATTATTTCCTTTAATAAATACATTAAATGTTGTTTTAACAGAAAACTTACAAAGATGGGAACAAGAATTTTTAAGAATTATGAAGTTATTAAGGATCAAAATAACAATATTCTGTTTAAATCTATTATAAATCAAGTGATAATTTGAAGAATTACTGGATAAGAGTCACAACAAAAACTTTTAAAAATGATGGACTGTGCAGAAATTACAAAAGGGCACAAAATTCAGAAAATGTTTCACATGAGTGCAGTAAGTGTGTGCAACACAACAACATGACAGATTCTATTATAAAGATTCCTATTAATCACAGCCTTGTCCATTCATTATCAAGTGTTCGTGTGGGTTTTGCACATTTTACTTGGTCATTCTGCAATTGTTAAGACATTTGTAATTGCATTCTTATCGGTTAAAAAGAAGTATAGCTTTCTGTCACATCCGATGCATTAGCTTTCTATCAGGTCCTATGTATTCCGAAACTTAATCCCATTCTATTTGTTTATACTTCTGTATGTTATTTTTCATTGGTTGTTTATTGTGTTCATGTTTATGATTTGTTAAGACATGATCTGTTGTAAAGTTATATATATATAACCTCTGTAAACTTTTTCACTCTATGCGTGTATCTCTGCTTATTACTCTGTAATAAATTTTTGTTTTTCGAGCCACCGCATTTTCAATATTCAACAGCAGAGGATGGTTCATCAAAAGTTAAAATGCACTGCTGATCTCTGTTTCCCCCCCCCCCCCCCCCATTGAACCTTCTATGCCAGTGTCATAATTTATCGTTCGTGTGATTTTGTTTTGGTTTCTCGTGAATGATGTCTTTTTCAAGAGGAAGTGAAAGGGAAGCTTTTGGTGTCACGCCATTTGATGGGGTTAATAACTTTACTCTTTGCTGTCGAAGAGTTCAAGCAGTATTTATTGCAAAGGAATTGGATACATTTTTGGAAACAAAAGCAAGTACGGACAGAACTGCAGATGTTTTGAAATCAGAAAAAGCTTATACCTTAATTCTTGCGCTTTTAAGTGATAATATTATTGCTTCTCTTCAACGTGAAGACACAGCATGTAAAGTATGGAAGAAAACTGCAAGCTACATATTAGTGCATTCAAAGGATGCAGTGTTGCCTTTTCAGAATTTTAGTGAAACATTAGAAAGTTACGATTATAGCTTTTACTGTAGAGAAAATTAGCAAGATTGTGTCGGACGAGTTACAACATATTCGACAAACATACCGAACTTAGTTAATAATCTATGCATCTCAGGATCTGTTTGAAATCAGAAAAAGCTTATACCTTAATTCTTGCGCTTTTAAGTGATAATATTATTGCTTCTCTTCAACGTGAAGACACAGCATGTATAAGTATGGGAAGAAACTGCAAGCTACGTTATAAGTGCTAAAGGAAGCAGTGAGTCAAATTTTAACGTGCATAAACGTTTAGCTACCTATAAGGAAAATCTAAGAGATGTGTCAATGAGACAACATATCGACAACATAATGAACTTAGTTAATAATCTATGCATCTCAGGATCTGAAGTAAGCGACTTTGATGTTATTATTTACATTTTATTAATGTGATTGCTGAAGGAATATGAAAATGTTAAGGCATCACTAGAAAATCAACCAAGTGATAATTTGAGTTTGGATTTTGTTACAAACAGACTTATTGATTCTGAATCCCTTATGTTAAATTGCAAAAATAAAAATAAGTATTCTAAACCAAATATGGACAACTCTGTTTTTATTAGTCCTCGTAGATAACTGTTTTGTACTTATTGTAAAAGAAAAGGACATTCTGCTAAATTCTGTAGTAAAAAGAACTGCGTCTGCCATAGCTTTGGGAAAACTGGTCATTTCAAAAAGGAATGTTTTGATAATTCTAAAAAGTGGGCAAATTCAAATAGTAATAAGTATGCATCGTCTGCAATAAATATCTTGTATAGCTGGAAATCTTGGGCGTGATCAATTTATTATTGATTCTAGTGCAACTTCTCACAAGGAATTGTTTATCTCAATTAAGTCTAAGACTGGAACTCTTAAATGCACATCTTAATTGGCGGTTTTAGAAGTGGAAGGCATTGGTGATATTTGCTGCAAAACTAAGAATGGTGTTAAAATAATGTTAAAAGAAGTTCTTTACGTTCCAAAATTAAACGGACAATTTCTGTCAAAAATATTGAGGCAACAGGTTTGAGCGTAATTTTTAAAAAGGAGATAGTTTACATTGAAAACAAAAACATTTTAGATTTGGATATTTGGACAATATTTTAGTGATTTTTCACCAAACCTATATACAGCTTTATCATTAAAGAATGATAATTTATGGCACAGAAAATCAGGACACTGCTGTGATCAAAAATTAAAACTTATGAATCTTCCTGCAAAAGAGACTTTTTGTGAAGTATGTGTTCGTGCCAAACAAAGTACATTGCCTAGTAAGGGTCCTTGTATAAAAGAATCCAAACCATTTAACTATACACACTGATATATGTGGTCCAATAGAACCTCGCACACACTCCAAGGAGAAAAGTATTTCATGACTATAATTGATGACTACTCGCGATTTATGGAAGTAAGACTGCTCGAAAGAAAACGTGACATTGTTGATGAACTTGAACTATTCTATAAATTGAATCCAACTGTCACAAAACTGTGCTGTGACAATGCCAAAGAATATGTCAGTGGAGAACTTTATGAAGTTGCTAAAAGAGCAGGTGTAAAAATAGGTCCTGCACCTTCCTATACACCTTTTTTAAATGGTGTTGCTGAAAGAGCAAATAGAAATGTACTGGAAAAAGCTAGAACAATGATACTTGAGGCAAATTTACCAAAATTCCTTTGGGGTGAAGCAGTACTTACGGCTGCTTATATAAATAATCGACTCCCAAATAATTCAATTGACAATCGTGTTCCTTATTTTCTGAAGTACAGTGTGAAAATCCTGATTTGACAAACATGCATGTATTTGGCTGTGATGCTTATACTCCTGTGCCACCATCCCAAAGAAAGAAACTAGATGAAAAATCTGTCAGAATGATATTTGTAGGTTATTCCACAATGAAATATCATTTCCAGAAACAAGACACATCATTGTTTCCAGAAATGTTGAATTTAATGAAGAAAAGAAGAAAGTAGAAAATCAAAAATACATATCCCTATAGTTCTGATTTGAGTGAAAAATGACAATGATGACATTAAAAATGAAGACAAATCAATTTCAAACACTGCCACTGCTGGCTTTTAAATTGTTGAGTTTTTAATCAGAAATTCGTTGAAGAAAATATGAAATAGATAATAAAACAAATTTGAAATTAAAAATTTCGAATGGTGAATTAAATGCTGCAAATGAGGAGGAACAGAAAGAAAATCTTTGAAGAGAAAAGAAACAACCAGTTAGGTATCCTAATCCTGAGACTTACCAAAGTGATGTTTGCCATAACAAGGACACTCTGACATTTGAAAATATTCTAAATTCTACCAGAAACTATGAAGAAAAGAGTATGGGCGAGGAAATGAAATCTATGGAAGATAACGACGTCTGGGATCTGCAAAATTTACCCGCCATTTCCTGCAAATGGGTTATACCTAAAAAATGAGATGAAACGTACAAAGCCAGGCAAGAGTCTTAAACAGTCTCCTCGACAATGGTATCAGAGATTTCTTAATTTTGTTATTAAATTAGATTTTAAGCAATTGGACTCTGAACCATGTATTTTCATCAGAAATCTAAATTGTAAGAAAGTAATTATGGCTCTTTATGTGGATGATTTATTAATTGCTGGTCTGGATGTAAAAGAAGCAAGTATTATAATATCATTGTTATCTAAAGAATTTCAAATGTCAAAATCTAAAAGTGTCTCAGAATTTTTAGGCATTAGACTATTGTTTGAGTCCGGTTGTTTATATTTAGATCAGAAACCATATATTGAAAAATTACTTGATAAATTTAAAATGTCTGATTGTAAAACTGCCCAAACTCCCATTGAACCAAAATCTACAGCAACTGATTTTCAGAAAGGAATTGCATTTCATGTTCATACAAAGAATTAATTGGATCTTTACTTAGCATATATTACAAGGCCAGATATTTTGTTTTGCAGTAAATTGCTTAAGCCAACTGCAGGAGCATCCTACTGATGTTGCCTGGTGTGCTCTAAAGAGAATTCTTAGATACTTGAAAAACACCTTAAATTTAAAATTGATATACAAAAAGGGTGGTTTGGAAAGGGCAAACTTATGTTTGTATGTAGATGCAGATTGGGGGGGGGGATGATACTCAAGATAGGAAATCAATTACTGGTCAAACTGTCCTATTATGTGGTGCTGTAACAAGCAAAAGTGTATTGCACTTTCACCAACAGAAGCTGAAATAATTGCTTTATGCAGAGGTATTCAAGATGTTTTATGGATAAAAAATGTAGTAAATGAAATTTCCAGTGTTAAAAATGTCTCTATTTTTGAAGATAACCACTCATGTATTAAAAGTATTGTTAATGAAAACTTTTCAGATAGGCTGAAACATATAGATATAAAATTAAAAGTTCACTCATAAGACTGTTAAAGAAAATAATATTAAAATTTAATATGTACAATCAAGTTTACAAATCTCAGATATGTAAACTAAGGCTCTGTCCAAAACAAAATTCTATGAACTATTGTCATTAAGCTGTTTAAAAATTGTGTAATTCTTCTATCTTTTCTATAATGTGCGATTAAGGGGGAGTGTTGAGACATTTGTAATCCCATTCTACTTGTTTATATTTCTTTGTGTTATTTTTGATTAGTTGTTTATTGTGTCTTGTTTATTATTTGTTAAAACATGATCTGTTGTAAAGTTATATACATAACCTCTGTAAACTTTTTCACTCTCTACGTGTATCTCTGCATTACTCTATAATAAATTTTTGTTTTTCGAACCATGGCATTTTCTATGTTCAACAGAAATAAATCTGGTTCAACAGCAATAAGCTGAATATCTTAACTAAGATTTATTTTGGTGATTATGCTTATAATGAGCATCGTAAAAAGTCATACTAGGGCTTGGTTTTCTGATTGAGTCTCACTTTCAGATAAACTCAGTATTTATAAGAATTAAATGCTGCAGTATTATATTTTGTTCAGTGTATATAATTTATAGTATTTTGAAATGTATTTTATGAAGTACTTTTATTTAAGGCATCACATTATTAGTGAATAATGAATGATATCTAAAACAATCTCCCCTCTCCTAGATTCGAGAAGAAGTGTTAAGATACGGGCTTGAGCCGAAAGATATACGTTTAATAAGGGAAAAAGGAACAGGTGAGGATTTGTTTCCTTTTTTTTTTTTTTTTAAGAGCTTTTAAAAGTCATTTTGTTTTCAGAATAATTAAATGTGAATATAGTTTTGATTGATTTTAGTTATCATTTTTGATTAAACAAATGCTTTTCTTTCTTTATAAGCAAATGATATTCTTCTTGCATAAGCAAATGATCGTCTTCCTTTATAAACAAATGATGGTGTTGCTTCATAAGCAAATGATACTTTTCCTGCCTTGATCTCACTGTTAAAATTTAACTTTATTTCGTTACCCAGTTTAAAATACAAGATAAATATTAAATATTTACTTTATTTTGTTTCTGTGTATTATTCCCCCCTCAACAAACTGCTTCCTTCACATTTTGCATTATTAAAAAAGTATGTAGTATACATATATTTTATTTTTACTTTCATTCAAGTATTTATTTTAAATTCCATTTTTTTATTTAATAAAATGGTATGTGTTTTGCATTAAAAAAATTTCCAGACTTTCTCTTTGGCAACTTAATTAAAAGCTAATGAATAATATTTTAAAAGCATAGCAAGTATAACTTTAAAAAATATTATTTCACAGAATGTTTATTCCCATATTATAAATGTATTACTTTACATTAAAATTTGATATGTTTTTGGACTGCAATTAGTAATTTACAGTTTTCCTCTTATCATTCAAGAATTTTGTACATTGTAAAAGTTTTTGAATTAAGTACTTGAAAATATCAAAATATTGTATATTTAATTTTCTTGAATGCTTTCTATATTTTGCATTTATTATTTTCTCTTTGTAGTGATGTATATTTGATTTTTGTTATGCATTAAATCTAAGATTTGAAAAATGCAATATTTTGTATTTTGCAGCTGTAATCATTCATTCTTTTCCCAAAAAATCACATTGAAAATCAGAATTTATAAGAAATTTGTGATTAGTATAATACAAGAGCTTACGCCATAAAGCGCTCTTATATTCTGAATTCTCTTTGTCATGAGAATAGTTTAAAATCTGCTTTTTACATTATATCTTTGAAATGTAAAAACAAAGTTCAGCTGTATTTATATATTTAGATATTACTTTTTATGTGTGTCTGGTAAGTTTAACAAAAAGTACTTAGTACATAGACCTTTGTTGTATCTATAGTAAATGAATGTTGATGTTTTATATCACTTTATACATGGTGTTGTAGGTGCATCTCGCGGCTTTGCTTTTGTGGAGTTTCAGTTACTATCCGAAGCCGTACGTTGGAAGGAACTTACCAAGGTTTTGTTGCTGCTATTTATTACTACTCTTATTTTGTAATCACACAACAACTGACTTCCTATCCAGTTCTTACTGTGGGGTTACCAACATTTTCCCCAAGAAGAAGAATGCTGAATTTGGGACTTGACAGAAATCCATACAATAAAGAGATAATTTTAAAATTTTCTTCTGTATATGAAGGAGTGTTACATTAATTTATAACAGGGTTTTCATGGCAAGATTGCACATTGCATTGAAAATACATATCTTCAAAAATTTCCCAGTGTATATGTATGCATACAGTGCTTAGATTATGAGATAAGATTTTTCAGTGAAATTCTAAATTCTAATTCGATGGATTGTTTATATTAGATTCTAATCTTCACAGCTCTATAAGGTTTTGATTGTCTGTTCCCATTCGTAATGTAAACGTAAACCATTTTTCTTTTGAAACGTTCTCTGGCATTTGTTTTTACATAAGTAACCAGTGGCTGCTTTTGCATAATTAAATCAATCAGTTGATTAAAAGATAGGGAGAAAAACTTGGCATTTAGAATAAATTATAGCTTAATTTTCAGTTTCTAGATTTAGATTCTTATATATTAATTTTGAGAGATAAAAAGTAAAAATATTATAATCGAACTATGCCAAATCAGTTCTATATGTAAGGTCAATAGGACTAAATATTAGTTTAGGAGTCCTGGAGATTTGTCTCCAAAAATGATTTGAATATTACTTTCTATGTGCATCTGTATAGATGGGTAATGTTCTGTCTAACCACTCTAGCAGTTATTCCCCCGTAGTGTCCTTGTTTTTAATTCAAAATAATGGGGAGGAAGTGAAATTTGCAAATACTTTTTATTTTATAACAAAGATTTAGAGTCAACATGCATAGATTTCTAGCTTAAATTTTGGCTTTCATGTACAGGTTATTTAAAAAAAAAGATATATTATTTCTAGCATTTAGTTTAAAATTATTTGCAGATGCATTTCACTGCTATTCAGAGATTCTGGCAACACCAAGAAATACTTGAGGTAGTACAAAGATATTTATTAAAGAGAATATATGATGTAAAGTATAAATAGTTAAAATTTCAGCGTGAGAAAGAACATGATTTATACTTTATTTGTCTTCTTTTAGGCTTGATTTATTGTACATAACATAGTAATCATTGATACAAATTTTGAGTGGTTGTCTGTGGAATGATACTGCATGCAAATTGAATACATATCTACAATTATCAGTTGTAGTTATGTGAGATGTCATCCTACATATATTTTCTTTAAGATTCAAATTGGACAACTGTATTGTCCAAGAAAGAGTTAACACTTGATGTTGACACAAGAAATATTTAATAATGCATGCAACATTCACAGTAGCAGTGGTAAGGCTTTTTATTCCAGTATTTGATACATGTAATGCTGATTATACGTAATGTCTGCAATTTGTAGAAGACAAGAATCTGGATGAAACATAACTTCCCAAATTATGATGATGTCAGGAGAAAATAATTTGTTCCTATTGACTCTTCTATTGTCTGTCTTCTTGACACCATTGCATTTGGCATTGATAAGAAAAGGTCAACTGAAGTCATAAAAATGAGCAATAAACTGCACATCCTAGTGTAGCAAGCATTTTTATACAGATCAGAAACCTAGGCTGTCGTCCATTGTTATGCTAATTCTATAGATTCATCACTGTTAAGCACAGCTGATGTCTCTTTTTGGTCCATCATGCTTATTGATATTCCAGTCTCCTCTCGTTGATATGAACTTTTTTCATTCATTGTTCACCAAACTTGCATAGTTGTACATGAATCTCATCCTTCATGGCATTGCAAACCATCATCTGCCAGTTTTATGATTCTTCCTTTCTAGAAGCCTATCAGTTATTTATATTGTTGTTTCACATTGTGTTCAGACATGTTTTCATACTGTCAGTGAAATAGCAATGGATTTTACCTTTGTAATGATTGAGATTATACGTTAACAGCCCTCTTTTATTTCATTTGAGTTATATTTCAACCTGAGTTATTTATGTATTTTGTTTGCATAAGCAGCTGAAGTTTTCATTTTGGAATTATTATTTCCATTTCGTATGATAACTAATCTGCATGCCAGATTTCAGACTTAATCCAGTTTCTCTCAACAGCAGTGTATTCCATTTCTGGTCTTCAAATCCATTCATTTAAAGTATTTATTTTAGAATTACATTGAATGTACTAATATTTTAATTAAATGCCTGAAAGGCTTTGCCATTTGATTCCATAATTAAGATATAAGATTCCGTAAGAAGAAGACAACAAATTCTTTTATGCACATAAATTTACTTGTGCAAACCCAAAAGTAAAATTGATCAGTGGAATCAAACTACCTGACTGCTTCTAGTTTCCGCTGAATTTTATTCTAAATGCACAGTGCTGCTGTAGAGGAAGATTCATCAAAAAGTGTCAAACATGCTTTTGAGATCACCCTGCCAAAAAAAAAAAAAAAATTGCAGAATTTAAAAATGGACAACCTTTGCCCATTATGTGTGGTTTCTAGTACTGTATGTGTATGCAATATATCCATTCAGAATTCTTACAATAAAATAACTTTAAAATTTCTTTTATAAGTATATCCTCGTGCCTTTTAATTTTTGTTAATGTATTAAAATATTTGAAATATATTTAGTTATCATATTAAATATTTAGTACTTATGCTTAAATGAGAAATCTGTTAAATTAAAGGCAAGAGGAAAAAAACATTTTTTGATTTTTTATTTCTGAAATTTCTTAGATTTGTATTTTCAATGATTATACAATTTTGTGCCTCTTATTAGAAAACCCTGTATTTTTTTAATATGTACTAGGAATCTGAAAAATGCAACCTACTTCTGTTTTAATTTCACCCAATAATCAAGTGTATTGTAAGTGAAATGCAGATTCTTCGAAATGTGTATGCATTGTAAATCTTTTGATGTAGAATTAAAATTTTGGTTAGGTTCATTTAGTTCCCCAAAATATGCAGTGTTAGGGCTTCCAAATTAACTGTGGATCTTTTTTTAATAATACTTTAACCTGTAAGTAACTAAATCATCCATGAAAAAGTTGTAGCTATTAATTATTTAAAATAGGTTTTGTTCTATTATAGAACAGTACTTTGAGTGAAGAGTTATAGTATTTTTACTATAGTAATGGATTTAAAATGCATTTTAATTTGAAGAATTAAAATCTTTCCCCATCCTCTCCACAATTCAATAACATTTAAAAGAGAGAGAGAGGTATAAAGAGTGTGCTTTTCATTTACATGAAAAGAAAATTTGCATCTCAAAATTTATCTTTTTTGTAGAGATTTGTTCTCCTCTGATTTTCAGTCAATTATTATATGTATTTTATTTATGCCACTCCACTGAACTTTGTTTCATTATAAAAGGGAATTATTTTTTATGCTTATAGATAAGCAGATTTTTCTTGCCTTTCCAAAAAGCAAATTCTAATATTAATTTAATAAATCATTGAATAAAATTTCACAAAAAAAAAAAAAAAAAAAAAAAAGATGAAGTTGTTTTTTACCCAATTTACCAGTTTGGAAGCCCTGTGTAGAAAGCTGCTTTGGATAACCTAAAGTGGGACTTAATCTGAATCCTTAAATTTTCAAATTTTAAACTACTCCATTTATTTTTAGAATACTTTTTTTTTTTTTTTTTTTTTTTTTTTTTAGTGTGGGCCTGTAGCTGAGAATGTGTACAGAAATCAGATAATTTTAGGAGTTTGTAAAATAATATAACTATACAAATGAACTGATTGTATAAATTAAGTCCTCTGCTCTCAGAATTTTATACATTCCTCCTCTCCCCTCCCCCCTTTTTTTTTTCAAGGATATGGAGTACTTTGTATTTTCTTTTTGTATTGTTCTTTCATTTTGTGATGTTAATAATAAGTTTTAAATGCAGTTAATATTATTTTTAATCCAACTCTGATCTTTATGTAATCTCATATTTTGTAGAGTAGTATTGTAATGAATATTACATGTGTGGCATTATATTTTTTTTTTTTTTTTTTTTGCAAGGGGTAATCCTGGTTTCGTTTAGCAGAAAACTTTTATTAGTGAAATACTATGTTAGAAAATAAAATTGCATTAATTAAAAAAAAAATTTTTGGTCACCCCCCCTAAAAAGGCATATTCTTCAAAAAATTTACTGTGATGTGTATGTATATATATGTAATTATTTTATACATATATATATATTGTTAAAAGTAACATAGTGTTTAAATATGGGTAGGGAAGGAAAATAGCACAGCTGATTACAATTTAAAGATGATTTCCTATAGTTTGCATTTCTGTTCATTGGTAGGTAATATAGTCTGTACTTTCAGATAGCTGGATCTGATTTTAAGCACAAGTCTAATAAAAATAATAAATAAATTTTTAGTTTTTTTTGGGGGAGGGGGATAAAACTATATAGATTAAATTGTCAAACATGAAGCTGGAGGATACTTTTTTCTTAACTGAAGTATTACTTATTATTCTAGTAGTGGAAGTCTTTTTATTGTGTTCTGCATTTATTTAATGATTTGGAAACTATAAGACTGCATAAATGTATGCTAAAAATTAGTGCAGTTATTAGGCTTTTTTGATTGGTTTTTGAGTCATAAGCCCAAATTTTTCTTTCTTGTGTTTGTGTCCTACTGACGGCATTTTTTTTTTTTTTTTCTCCCAGTTTAGATATCATGGTTTTATGTGTTTTGCTTTGAACTGTAAATTTTTTAATAAGGTGAATTACTTCAAATAAGTACTTTTAATCCTACAGTACACTTCTTTATTTTTAATCTGAGAGTCTGAGGATGTTCACAACCAGTTCATAAATCAGAATTTTAGAAAAATACAGTAGACTCCCTATTAGCCGGGTCGCAAAAGTTAGTTTGTTGTGGAATAGCAGAAAATTGATGTCCCAAACCTTCATCATGAAACAAAATAGTCTCTCCTGAAATTGCAAAATAGAAATGAAAAATGGATAACAACATTAATAACTGCAAATGATAACATATTGAGAGTTAATTTAATCAAAACAGCATGTAATTAAATACTTAATCTGAAATATATAAACATCATACAATAAAAAAAAAGCAAAATTTTTACATGACTTTGAATTCAATGAGATTGTTCAAGTTCTGTCACATAAATATGTCCTTTAATTTATGACTTCTTCATTGCTAATAATGTTTATTCTGTTATTTACAATGCATTCTTCTACTTTTAAATACTTTGAACTTACAATTCCATATTTTTCACATTCAACAACTTTAATGATTAACAATATCATTCTGTTAAGTATGTGATAGGTTATTCTCTCATCTTATGTTCCTTCAACTGTCCTTCAATTAATGGAGATTTTGCGCTATCCATAGGCATCCCCAGTAATGCCCCCATTTAATCGGGAGTCGACTGTATTATCCTAGAATTGTAGGCAATTAACTCAAAACTAACACAAAAACCAGGATTTTGAATATGTCTTCCCCCACCCACCCACCCCCTCTTCTTCTTCTTCTTTTTTTTTTTTTTTACAAACAGTCTCTATTTGTAAAAAGCAAATTTAAGTTAATTTAATTTTAATGAAATTGAATTACAAATAAATGATTAATTATTGCTAACTAAATTTAACTTTACTATATTCTTTCTCCCCCCCTTTTTTATTTATTTAAATTTTTAGACTGGAGTGATTCTCCCCCCCCCCTTTTTTGGTATTAATTAGATAATGAACATTTTCAGCACAGCTATTAGTAGTTTTTCCTTGTCCCCCCCCCTTTGTTTTTTAGCCATTTAGTAAAATTAGAATAGCTGAGTAATTTATTTAGAGGACATTATTTATTTTTCCTTGGGAGTAAGTAGGGTAAAAGCATTTTTATTGTCTGCGAATAATCATGAAGGGAGCAATTTTGTTAATGCTGAGCTGATTTTAATAGTTCAAATAAAAACAGTTTCAGTTTGAAAATTTATGTCAGATCAGTTTTCATGCTGTGGTACTATACCTGAGCATTCTGTTATTTTAATGTTAATTTCACTTACAATCAGTATCTTTTAAATCATATCTTTTCAGATTTTTCTTAATATTAACATGTTAATCAGAAATATAGTCTTTTTTATCATTTAAACTTTGCTTATGTAATATGTTATTTCTAGTGTGATACAGAATTTTAATTATTTTTCTGTGCGTGAATGATATTTGGTAAAGGTTTTAGAACTAAAACCTCTTATGTTAATCATAACTCTTAGTAAATTCTTCCAACTAACAGTTTTAAATTGACATGCCTACAGTATTTCATTTTTGTAATCGTGATAATTTTTTATAAAATTTTTAAGGCATTTAAGTCTGTTATTAAAGAATGTTTTATATATTTACGAACTAAGGATATTTTAAATTTTGCCGCTTTCTAAAAGTTGTGTATTAAAATCATATATGAGAAAAGACCAAATGCTAATCCATTATTAAGTATTAAAATATTACCGAGTTAAATATGGTAAATAGTTTCCCATTTTATTAATGTTTTGAAATTAAGAATATATTAAAAAAATTTAAAAATTGGAAAGTTTCCAAAATTCCAAACCTTTTTATAAGATCAGGTTAGTCTTATGAAAATTTATGATTTGTTAAGTTTTTTGGGGCTAGTTTTCAGAAAACTGGAAATAAAAGTAAGTTTTCCTCAATCCGGTATTTCGAGTATTCCGAAATTTTTGCTGAGTCGGCTTGGTTGTCGAAATTCGCCGTTGCATGTTGTTCGTCTTGCCCTATCTTTGTATTCGTGGATGTTCCGTCTTTCCGTCTGCAAAGTTGGTACCCTCCTTGACGAGAGTTATCGGTTTTCCGGAATTTTATGAAATTATTTTGTAATACTGTGATATCTAATTTTTGTATTTGTTTTATGATTTTGCAGGGTACTGTGATATTCCGAGGAAGTAATCGAGCTAGTCTCCATTATAGTATCCCCAAGGATTTACTTGGTGCTGATCGTTATATGTTAAACAAAGCTGATTGGGATTGTCCAAAGGTAAATTTTTAATATGTTTATTTGAAAATGATGTTACAAGCATGTCCAAAATTACAATATAATATTCAAAAGCACTTTAGAAAAATTTTAAAATAACTCGAAGTGCTTCTCAATGTTGAAAATTGCTGTGATTAATTCAGCTTTTATTTTTATTTCAATCCATTTTTTAAAATTTTAAACATTCTTCCTCCTGTATATTTATAAATTTCCTCCTGTATATTAGTAATTGTAATTAGCCTGATGTAGTCCTTTCAATGTACAAATAATTCAAACTTTATTGCCATATGACTTTCATAAATTTTGTTTCTTTAGTGTGGTATGAGTAACTTTAAAAGAAGAGATTACTGCTTTAAATGCAACTCTGCCAGAGAAGGTAAGTATGAGAAAAGTTTTTGACCTCACTGCCTTTTCTAACTTTTTATGTTTACCTACTTCTCATTTCTAATTAATATAATCGTTTAATGACAATACATATATTTTGAAAACTTTTATAGAAACATTTGAATGGCAGCATGGTGACTGTTACAATGAAATAAGTAGTACTCCATCAAATAGTAAGTATTTCTGGCATTTTCTGTGGGAAAATATTCTTGCATTTATATGCCTTTCTTTTAAAGTATTAATTGAAAAAAGTAGTTAATGAAAAGTTTTAAGAAATGTGTTTTGGAAGTATACTGCATTAGATTTGTTTTGCCAGTGAATCATAAAAATGTCTCTCTCTCTCTCTCTCGTGTTCATCTTTTTAAAAAGAAGGAAAACTCTCTCTCTCTCTTTTTTGTTTTGTTACCTAATTTATAGTATTTGGATAATTTTATCACTATGTTAAAATTTTGTAAATTTTTATTTATTTTATATATTTGTAATTATAGCTTTGTTATTTGGAAATCTTGATGTGTTAACTACTGAAGGAAGAGTCCTAGCCATGTTGGGTCAATTAACAACACTTCCAATAAAAAGTCTTCGCGTAGTTAAAGATTCTCTTACTAATACATCTCGAGGCTATGCATTTGTTGAACTGAATTCAACATCTGAAGCCATACAGTTATATGAATTGCTTCTGTCTATGGCTGGAAATTTTTATGTTGATGGCAGACAAGGTAAGAAACAGCCACATTTGAATTTTAATCTGTTAATTTTATGATATCTTCTTCCTTTCTGTGAGTATCTGAGTTTCTTATGCACTAACCAAATCTTTTTCAGGAAGTTTTGCAAAAATAATTCAAATTTTGCTATCAAAATTGCACCAGATTTGGCACTTTGTTGCCAAATCTTTGTAAAAAGCAGATACTTTTGGCAGAAATTCAGGTTATCACTTGAATTCATTCTTTATATTACATGCTTGAGATATTCTTTCCCTTTTGTAATATCATTTCTTTAGTTGCATCTCTCTGAAATTGGCAGTTCATCATGATTTTGATGATTTTAAGATTAAAAAGATTTTGATACAGTGGTTTGTTTGTTTTATGACGATTTTTTTAACATACTTAATATTCTTATTGCAGTATCATTATATATATATATTTAGAAAAAATAACATAAAAATAAAACTTTTTACATCTGTTATGTTTTAGTATACCTATTTTTTCATTTTGACTGCTTTTTAATATTTTGATTCTGAAATTTAAGTGGGATAATGTTATAAAGCACAGTTTTAGAGTAACCTTTTATAGCAAAAAAAAATAAGTGTTATATTGAAATGAATGTCTAATTTTCAATTTTTTTATGATAAGAATTATTCGTGGTGTAATTATTTCAGAATATTTGTTAGTTTTCTCTAAATTTCTTTTCAGAATTTTTTGTAAACTCATTTGAATTAAATGAAGCCACCTATAATAGATTTTCGAACTAATAATGGTTTTAGTTTATGAAGTAAGAATTATATAAATTAAAAACAAGTTATTCAAGAACTAAATTAGTGTTAAGCAGTATTAATATAAGAAATTAAATATCTAATTGTTTGGAAATGAAGATTTTAAATTAGCATTTCTTACACACTTTCAACTCATTTACAAATATTGCCTTGTGTAATCAACCATAAAAACATACACTCTTACATGCCTAATACTGTTCTATAAAATAATGGAAAGTTAAAACTAATATATTTTTCATAATTCTTAATTCAATATTATGATCTTATGTAAAATAAAACTTTAAAAAAAAGTTGGTTAAACAATCCTTTTTTTTATTTTGTTATTCTCTTCATCTACAAGCTTTCCTCCCCCCCCCCAAAACGTAAGAATCCAAAATTCATTTTCTGAAACATAAAAAGCAATGCTTGCTTTTTATTAACATTTTTGCATATTGTGTGTAGATACAATTATTTGGTAGTCTTTCATTACTTGCCCAGTCGTCCCACAGTTGCATTAAATAATAGCCATTTTTAAAAATGGTGGCTTGCTGAAAATTATATAAAACAGCAGTGAAATTAAAAACATGAGAAACATCCATAATGAAACACTAAAAATTGCATAAAAGAAACGATGTAACAAAGCTCTCAAAATTACATAAACCCGCAACAAGTTAATAGCATTAAAAACACAGCAAAGAACCATGATAAAACACTTAACTTTCCTTTTTCCAGGCTTCTGTATGTGCACAGCAATATATTTTAATATTTTTAAAAAAATGTTAGGGAATTGCAGAATTCTTGGCATTGCAGAGTAAACTAGCACTGCCCTCCTTGTACACATCAGCTTGTTTTAACTTAAAATTATCAGAGAATTGTACAGATTAATGTCATGGAATGCACGTACCTATACTTTTTACTGCTGGATTAAATGCCATATTTCTGAAGAAATTCAACATTTTCTTCTTCATTAGTAGGCAAACTCTGCATTACAATTCCTTACAAGAAAACGAAAAAAAAAAAGAAAGAAAGAAAAAAAAACTACATGCTAATTACAGCAAACAGAAACCACAGACATGACCCTCTAATTTCAAAACTATGCACACTGCCACTGAGATAGACAGTGGCATTATGTGGATTACCAGTTTTTTATAAAATTCTATGTTGCCTACTTTGGTGACAAAGCACTCTCCTAGGTGATTGTTATCTAGTTCGGGTAGATAATGTGATAGTGCCTATTATTTTGTCATTTTATTAACAGGAAAATATTATGTAGCTATTTTTAGATTAAAACTGAAAAGTTGTTTGTTCGTATTTTTTCATCAGCTAATGTTCTGAATGAAGTAGTGTTCTGTTTAAAATTTTTAAATGAAAAGCATAGTAAATATGTTATGTTAAGTTTAATACTTTGCAGATAGGATATGCATAATCATTATTATAAATTTAAGAGTAGCAATAATAATATTTCAAATATATTGGATATTAGTTACATTTATTTGTACATTAATTTTTTTTTAGTGACAGTTTCTTATGCCAAGAGATCATTAGCATCACGAAACAGGTAATTAATTTTCTCGAATAAATGTAATTCTAATGTGTGAGTAATTATTTCTAATGTTAATTCAAGCAGTATGACTCAGAAGTTTGTTTTTCTTCCCTGTTCTGCATGTCACTGAATAGCATCATAAGTGCAGAAAAATTTGAATTTAAAAAAGCTTTGAAATCCCAATTGGTTTTGTATGTACATTGAAGTTCCCAGTACTTTATCATAGTCCCATTTTATCAAGATGGGGGGGGTGTTGGATTTTCTGATTTAATGCTAGGCTTATAGTGTATCTCCATAGAAAGCGATTTGCCTTGCAGGTGCGATGAATTGTATCACTCGACTCATGACAATGCAGTTTGTTGCAAATCTTGGTTTGGGGATAAATGTGTTTGAACTTTAGCTAAGCACTCAAGCATATTACAGGGCACCATGAATGATAATTGGGAAGAAAGGCCATTTAAGTGCAGTGTGAATCTCACTTAGTAACAGAAGCTTATCAGTGATTCTTAGCCCTTTTTTATATCATCGTATACTTATAATAATTTAAAAATTTGAACAGAAGATAAGAAGATAAATTTTAAAGATTACTTGATTATTTGATTGATGTGTCCATAATATATTATGTAAAAATAACATATAATAATAATGATATTTAAGGAAAGTTATATAGAAATTCAAAATAAACAAAATTGTTATTTAATGATGAATTATAAATTACATTTAGCGTGAAATATGAGGTTAGTGTTTCTTGATAGCATCATTGGGTGTAAAAAGGGAAATGTTCTTCTCATATCGTGATCCAGATTTTAATCCAAATTCTCACAAATAAGATGTGAAGAATTGTAATAACATACGGGAAGCTTTTTGTGGTATTGTCAGATAATTGTATCTTAAGATTAGTTCAGTCTGAAATGTTTCTTTTGAATGTTTTGAAATTAAATCTTAGTTATTACACACCAAAATTAGTTCTTCCTGTACTTTCATAGTTAATTCATATATCAGTGTGTCCTTTATCACAAATAGATTTCGAACCAAGTCAATTTTTTTTTATTTGGGAAGTAATGAATGATTCTTTGCTCTAGTATTATCAAATGATCAATAACTATTAACTATTTTAAGAATTATTCTTTAACAGTCTTTTGGAATTAACTCAGACTTTTCCAAAATACCATCTTGTGCTTTATTCCTCAACCCCCTCCTTCTCTAGATCTTTAAAATATATCGGTTACGGTTAAAATATTTCCTTTCTATCCCTGTATGCTTGTATTGATGTTAAAGAATAACAGAAGTATCAGCAAGTTGGGTTAGCAGACCATTGTCATCTAATAAATTGACAAGATAATTATTATCTTGTTTAACAATTACCTCATATTTTAATTCAAACATGCGTCATTAAACTCTCCCTCTGGGTGAGTGAGTGAGTGAGAGATTATGGCACAAAACCAAAGATGATTATAGTGCGCCAAACACGTGATGGGGTGAGTACAATTGAAGAAATTAAAATACAATAAATAAAAACAAGTAGACAAATGTATCAAATCCAGAGGATGAAGTCATATAAACACAAGTTAAAACCACACATTTACCATTCAAGATACAATTTTAAAACAAATTACATTAGGTGATAAAACCAGTTTCTTTCAAATAATAAAATAAATTACAATTGACCTCTCTTCCGATTAAACGGTCGAGAGGTAAGTCACAGCTATTAAAAATATTTCTGGCGAAGACTATTAAAACATGGACATCAATTAAAATATGACGAACATATAACAAACATTACAATTAAAACAACAGGCTCATTTTCAGCTTTGAGAAATAGTTATGTGTGACTCTATGTGACCAATTCTGAGGCGAGTCAAAGAACTTCCTCCTTTACGATTTTTGGTTGATTCCAATGCTCAATTCCTAGTTTTACATGTTCTTAACTTGTTTTGAAGCTGAACATCCCAAATTTGCTGCCATTTTTCACGGACTTTTCCCTGATGACACGCAGATATCTCTAAAAGGGATAAGGCGACTAGTCCGTTCATCAGCAGATTTGGCTGCAATATCTGCAAGCTCATTTCCCTTTATTCCAGCATGTCCAGGAACCCAGCAGTACAGGACTTCATATCTGCGAATCGTTAAATTTATATGAATTTTCAGGACATCTACTACACACAGTATTCTGAGTTTTGGGAAAAGCTTCCAAAGAATTAAGAGCACTATACGAGTCTGTATAAACTATGAACTTCTTGTGGCAGAACTTCGAGATGTACAAAAGACCATAATATATTGCAGTTAGTTCAGATGTTAGGACTGAGCAAGCATGGTGTAGGCATCTGCCCTCAATGTTAATCTTCAAATACAAAAACCATCCCGACATGATCATTTGACTTTGATCCGTCTGTGTATATCGGATAATAACTGCTATATCTTGCCTGTGCTCAGTGAAGAGCTCTCTGTAAACGTCTCGTTAGTGCTCGCCTTCACGTGATGTTTGAAAACTCAAGGAGCTGAATCCGTGAATTTTCCCAAGGTGGAATTTCAAAAACCCTGTACTGCTTGGGGGTGCATATCAGAGAGGGAAAATTTCTCAATGACAGGGCGAACTCTTAAGGAAAGTAGGAACAGAGGATTGACGTGTTTCAATAGTGTGTTACATTCATTATCAAGTAAGCACAGCTTATTGGGATGTTCAGGTTGGGATAAAATATTAAAATATTGTAAAAGGGACAAGATAAAGTGATGGTTCGTTAGAGTCAACATATAGGCTGTGTACAGGAGAAGTCCTGAAAGCTCCTGAACAAATCCGCAAACCCTGATGGTGAACAGGATCCAGTTTTAACAAAACAGATGAGCGAGCGGATCCATAAACAGCTGAGCCATAGTCCAGTCTAGAGCGGATAAGCGCTCTGTAAATGCGAAGCATGGAGCAACGCTCTGCACCCCAGGAGGTGTTCGCCAACACTTTTAAATATTTAGTGTTTTGAGACACTTCTTTCTCAGGTTAAAATGAGAAAGGAAAGTCATTTCTGTCGAACGTCACTCCTAAAAATTTTTACTTCGGGCGCAACTGGAATAATGTACCATTTAGATATAACTCAGGTTCAGGATGGAGACCTCGCTTCCTACAAAAGTGCACGCACACAGTTTTCTGTTTCAAAAAAGTAAATCCCTGCTTGTCTGACCATTCTTGGATCTTATTCAGCCACCTAAAAGTGTTTTACAATTATCAGTGTTTGACAGTTTACAACCACCAACTTCGAAACAATATGATAATTTTCCTATGCAGATGTAAATCGAGATTTTAAAAAAATTGTTATTTGCAATGAACTGTATATTTTTTGGCAGAGGAAACAGCTTTAATTGTACTGTGCTCGGGCTCGTTAGCTGATCGCTAACGTCATCATTATCACCGTTAAACTTTTCTTAATCCATTTTAGGAATTCTTTTTTAATTAAAATAATTTTGTCAGAAAATTATTAAAAGTGACATGTATTGCCATTGAATCTGTTTAATTAAGTTTGACAACTCAATATTGTAACCTAACCATATGCACACATCAAGCTGGTGACTACTGTTTGTTTATCACAAGGTTGGCTCTTAACCTCTTCGAGCTGGGTAACGCAAACACGCGCTTATCGTGGAGGCCGGCAGTGTCTTACGCGAGCGTCTGTCCAGGGCCGGGGGCTTTTTTGCTACTAAGCCTAAATCCATGAAATTTCCGAAGTATCAACGCATTGTTTAATAATGCTCTGTAGAGTATTTAAATGGCTTATGCTTTATAGATATTTTTATACTATATACTTTAATTACCTTATTTCTTGTTTAAATGCATATTTTACACATTTTATTTTCATTACTCGCCATGTTATGATTTTAACATTACATCTGAAAAACTAAATATATTACTAAAATTTTCTTTTTCGTATGAAAAATTTGAAAACAGGGATCTACACACAGTCCTACGTTACATTCCTTGCGCTCGTGATAACTCATTTGCCGTTTTGGAGGATTTTTTCCGGGAATGTGAACAAACGAAGCATCGTCGTCTCATTTCTCTATCAGTCTCTTCTGAACAAAGTTTTGGAAAATGTCTTTCAGTAATCTTTCAGAATCATATCTGAAATATTTTGCATCATTTCTGCTATTTCATGCTCTGTTTAACATTTTCGACACTTCGACATTGGAACAGTAAAGCAAAAAAATTCACGTCTACAAGATCTAATTATTTTCTAAAAACTGAACTGCAAACCGAAATACCCAATACTTTGTGCAAATAAAACTTCTCTACTTAAATAAAAACTACCCACGTGCGAATAAGTGCGATTTAAATAGACGTCATAAATCACGCCATTCGGAAATTTATTGCCCTTTTGTTTTATAATCAAAACACGTGTATGGAGTCATGCTTCTTCATTTTGAGTAGAAGGTCTAATGTACATGTATCGTGAAAGCATATCGACATACAGTGCCATCTTGTGGCAGAATTATAGTTTTTACAACGTTCCAGATACTGCACAAATACGTAACAGCGTAGTGAACGGGAAAATGCTCTGGTACGCCTGCGTGTCGGCCGGGAGGTGAGTGTGTTCGTTGCTGGCACGTAGATGTGACAGTCGGCGCGAAGGGGTTAATAGATAGTCTGTGGCTCTTGATAGATAGTAGCTGTAGAAATGAGTAGTCGTCTTCCCCCTTTTTGGGGGGGGCTGGCTTATAATATTGCTTTTCAGTTTGCTGTCTTGATGTGCTTAATCACAAATTGAATTTCTATTTTAACATTTGCCAAAATAAAAAAATTAAATTAAAACATTAACTTGGCTCGTCCCTATTTGAAATACACTAGCCTTGTTGCTATAGCAACTGCAACCAACTAGACATAATGGCAAGAGCAATTCTGCTGGTGTACTGGCTGTAGTATACTAAACTAGTATACCAATCATGTCGGATAATATTAGCATTGGGATTAGGGAAGAATGAGAGGAGATTTATCTCCCTCTCTCTGCTATACATACACTACACATTTCGGACTTTCTTCCCAGTGTGTAGTGTTCGTTGACACGACAGGTGTAGCTTTGTGTGGGTTAAATCCAGTACTGTAATACTTACGTACATTTCAAATTTGCTGTTTTGTTTTTCATTGGACACGTTTGAGATTAAAAGTTCTGCATTTTGGTTAAATTGATCAGTTTAAGAATGAGCCAAGTCGTGTTGTGTTCAGCCAGTCCCCGCTAGGAGGTTAGAACTGATTAAAACTATCTGTATTTTGTTGCTTATAAATAGGTATTTGCAGTGGTATCTCGTGACTTTAAGATGTAGGAAAATCATATACTCACCATTATAAGAAACAAAAATTGTATTGCGTAAGAACAGTCACAATGTATGTAAGTGTTTACAATTACATATATTGGGAGTAATCACAGTATATATATAATATTGTGAGGGGATGCAAAATAATTTATTGTATGCATTCATAAAATTTTGTGCCACACTAGTGCAGCAACATATTGAGATTAACTGTGTTAGATCCTGAAAATTTGCAGAACTGCATGAAAAACATGTGTCGTAGAAGAAAGTGTTTAGAGAGACATGTTGTCATATAGATTTGTGTACTGAAGAACATTGTAGTTATTTCCAGTATCTTCTATAAAAGGATACATTTTGTTCACTCTTGTTGCAATTTAGAAAAAAAATTTCAAGTTAATGCTTACATCTAAAATAAAATAAATTAGCAGCAAAGTAAAAGTGTGGCCATTTAAAACTGTGGTATTAATAATGATTACCACACTATTGATGGTGTAAGCTTGGCAAGATGGACATGCAGGTGATCTTCTTTTTTCAAAAAGTGTACATCTTGATACACAGCACTGCTATTTGTGCTCATGTTCAAAACCTATCTCAGAGAGAAATGTTGACTCTAGTAGAAAACCAAATCTAAATTAATTAATAAGAATTGATTAAGTAAAAGCTGAATACTCCATCTACTATAATTGCAATTATAAATGAATAAAAGTGATAAAAACCATGCAGCCTTTTAATTATGTATGCTTTTATTAGTGTGCGCTTTCATCAATGTGGGTATTTGTCATGTGCACAATTATCACAGTGGTTTTTTGTTGGGGGGGGAGGGTGTTAGGGAACCAAAATGAACGTACCGTGACTAACACAAGTGGTGCTATATTCTGTGTTAACATACTATCTATAGAATAACTGTACATTAGCAATACTAAAAGTGCACTTTTATTTATAGAAATAATTATACATTTTCCTGCTATTAATGTAATACTGTTTGATTGATTAATGTAAATACTTACTGTGAGTTTTGTTTGCAGTTCTGGCAGTGCCAATGCTGCTATTGTAGCCCTTGCTGCTGCTCAATGGACTAATCAGGTATTTAAAATGATTTGTAAATTAAAACCATTACTTTTATAAACTTTGTGTATGATTTAATGCCATTTAATTAGTCACTTATGTAAATGTAAAATTTTTCCTTTGATACTTATCAAATTAGAAACAAGAAGATTCATCATATGATCAGTATTATGGTGTTACAGCATCAGCTGGTGGGACATCTGCATTAACTGACGGCTCACAAAGTAAATGACATTTTGAATAATCATTACTGAAGAAAACACTAAAGCAATTTTATATTGATAATTTAAATTCATCTGCCAAACTAACTTTTTTTTGCTTGTGAAATGTTGTGTCTATATTTTGTCTTTTTATCCATTACCGGAAATAAAATACTTAAACATTGATATGTATTTTAAAGTTTCTTAAAATCTGGTTTAACGGAATTGTTTCGAGTTTTTACAGTAGTCGACTGATCAGTTTTAAAGACATTTTGTTAAATTCAGTAACATATCAAAGGTGCCAACTTTCTCGGTGAAATAGGTAGACTTCTCATTTTTCACCGTACTTCTCAATATTCCAGTAAATCACTTGATTATTAAAAGGCAGTGCTGTAAAGAAGTTTTCACTACAAATTTTTAAAAAGAGCTGAGGTGTGACATTGCCAGCGTATGAAATTTATATTGTACATATTCCTCAGCATGTGTTTTGTGATTAATTGTTAATCAATCTAAATTGTTTTAATGAATGTTTAATATGTAAATATGTCCATTTAATTTGTTATAAATTTGTAAATCGTGTATTACCAAGTTATGATTATATGCAGATTTATTATTTATATTATTTCCAATGTGTTTAAAGCACTAAATAAAAACTTTCGCCCCACTCAAATTTTTTAAGAAAATTACAAAATATAATGAAATTCGTCTCCCTCCCCCAAAAAAGAAAAGTGTTAATTTGATATATTTTACATTAATCACATTGTAATTAGTTTAATAATCCAAATCATGCATTTTAAATGGGGCTGTTTCTTATAATACATGATTAAGTGAAGGAATGAGTGTCTTATAATTACATTGACACTAAATGTGAAATTCTCCCAGTTTCTCGTATTTCAATAGTGCTATTTACAATGCATTAGAAATAATTATAGCTTATTTATTTAAGCATTTAAATTAATTTTAATTCATATTAGCTACATTAATAGTAATTAAAATTTATTGAAATATTATATTTATTCATATATTTTAGGCTTTTTGAAGGAGTGGAATGTTTAAGAAAAAATTAATTATTTTTATTGGGAGTGCTTGTTTTAATTTGCATTTCTCATTTCATTCGAACATTTTAGCTGGGTGATGCAAAGAATCACTCTGTTATTAGTAATTTTAGACATTATTAAATTAGACTGGATCTTTTATCACAAGTTTTTTAAAACATGAAACTTGCCATTTTTGTACCCATTCTGATTTTGCTTTAAATAAGTTTTCTTTCTTCTATATAGAGCAGAACTTTGATACTTCTGTTCCCAATCAGGTATGTTTAAACATTAATTGAAAAATTTCATATTAAAATATATTTACATTATATCTAGGAAGATATTTAAATGGATGATATATTAAATTTTTTTCAGTGAATTATGCTGTAGTATTCATAATAAAAAAAAAAGCTAACTAGATATTGCTGTGTTTTCTTATCAATTATTTGAATTAAAATATTCTTTTCAAAATAAAACTAATAGAGATCATATACAACAAGATTTCATTTTATGAATTTAAAATCTTCATTCAGTGTAAGTTTATACTACTCTTCTGAATATCACAGCTACTCAAAGTTTATAACTTATCACTTTGTAATATATTTTGCTTTCTGAAGATTTTTTAAATATTGAAAAATTGTATAATAGATGTGCATAACTAATTCTTTAAGAGGACATTTATATTTGGGGATTTTGGCTTACTGCTCTTAATTCTAATACCAGTAATTCACTACCAGTGGGTCATACATGTCCTAGCAAATATTTTAAAAATTGTAACAAGACAGTTTTTATAATGAACAGTATTTATATTGATTTGTTCAACTACTCTTAGGTTAAAGGGGGGGGAAAACAGATTTCATTGCTGCAAATTCTCAGAAATCTAAACTATTGGCTAATATGCTTCTCAAATAAATATAAATTTCTGTTTGTTTAGAGAAGATTGAAATAATCTGGTGTTAATGGGAATATGCTATGCTTCGGACACCTTAACCCCAATTAAATAGATGATGAAATCTCTGATTTGATTTTTGAAATATAAAGGGTAAATTTATGCGAGGAAACGAGCTTTTAAGTGAGCATTTTTATAAATTGGTAGGTGCTCGAATTAAATGATATGTAAATTATTTTCAAAACCATAATTTTCTGTTGAAGCTTCTTTTTAGAAAGGTTCTAACTACTATTCAAATTCAATCAGCTCAGAGCATCCGGGTGATTAAAATGAAGACATGACTATATAAGAATGATCCTGGTGGTTGAAATAATACAGCTGTTTATATGCCACCAGCCTCTCAAGGACTTTCGGATTAATAAATTTTAGATGCTTCAGTTAAACTAAGACACTGTATTCATAAATATATCTGTACCATATCAGGGCTTCAAAGCCGAGCCCATTAATAGTGAAGCCAGCTTCCTGTAATCATGATTTGAGGCCTTATAAATATGTTGAATTTTTTTAGTAAGGCATACTTGCTAATAATAAAATTTTTAATTTGTGTTTTACTTTATAAAAATGGATTTGGAAAAAAAAAAAAATGTGTTTCAGTTTTTAAAATGCAATAGAAATTCACCTTTTCCTTGCATATGTCGTAACTCTTAAGACTCTTTATAAGAATTCTATACATATCAGCTCCAGAGGTTAGTTTTATATACTAGTATATTACCTGTAATCTGAATTTTTTTTTTTTTTTTTTTTTTTTTAATATAGGCACACATGGCAAGTATGGGCACAGTAATAGTAAATGGTGTTACATACTACAAGTACCCATTACCAGATATCTCAACATATCAGTATGATGAATCATCCGGTTACTATTATGATGCAACAACGGGCTTGTATTATGATGCTAATTCGCAATATTATTACAACTCTGAGAGTCAACAGTATTTATATTGGGATAATGAACATCAGACATACCTACCTGTCCCAACTTCTGGTACGAGCACAAATTCTGCAGAGATTTCGGCTCAGTCTACAATAACTTCTCCCCCTACTGCGGCTTCTACAACCCAAGGTGGCTTGTCTCTTCTTTTATTTATTTTTTTTTTTTTTTAATTGTCATACCTTTGAATAATTGAATTGCTTAGTGCCTTAAAAATTTATTACAGTTTCTTTTTTATTCGATTTTAGCCAGTTCAACGTCTGCTGAAACAGAAGAACAAGAAAAAAATAAAAGTAAAAAAGAAGAAAAACTTGATAAAGTGAAAATAGCAAAGAAGATAGCCAAAGTAAGTTAAGTTATTGCACTATATGCACTTGAATGCAATGTATTAAATAATTCTAGCTATTATTTTGTCAGTTGCCATTAGTTAAATTATTGTAATGTGTGCTTGTGCATGTTAAGTAATTATTACTGTTATTTTATGAGTTTTCACATACTTTTATTTTGAGAATAAAGCATAAGTTTATATCAACCAGTGATCATATTTAAAGAAAACTATATTGATTTCATGTTTGCAAATTACAGTAAGAAAAGGGTTTGTAGGGTTCTCTTAAAAGTCCTTAAAAGTTCCTTGGTTTTTTTTTTTTTTTATTTTTTTCGAATCGATTTTTCGTTCTTAAAAGTCCTTATTTCAGGGTTCATGCAGTCCTTAAAATCCTTAGGCGTCCCCCCCCAATAGATTTTTGGTCCTTAATTTTAATCATCTGAAATTTCTGTTTGATTTTATAGGACTGCCATTTTTGAGTGTAAATTAGCATTTTGGAGGAATATTTTTGGCAATTCTCTGACATATATGGCTATCTTTCGAATGGGTTATAATTTGTTCTTATTTCTGATATAAATGGTGGAATACTTGAATTTCTAAGTAAGAAGTGAAACATAAGCATTTTGAAATTCATTTTTTCTAATGAACAGCTCTTAAACAACTTTTCGCTTCTGGTGATGTGAATTCTTTTAATAGTTCTAAGTTTGGCGACTTACCAACATTTTGGCAATTTTAAGCTCAATTTTTATAGAAAATTTTTAATTCCGAGATCTAGAAATTTTTCGATGTTTTTTTTTTTTTTTAAAAAAAAACATTGTAACATTGATAAATTTCAGTAAAATAATGGTAATATATTGAAATTAAATTTTTAAAATAAAACATCTTTCTGTTTCACTGTCATATTCTAAAATTCTATTTTGGCAACTTATTATACAATATTTGAATCCGAAAAATAAACACGTTATAATGCTATAAAGCACAATTTACAAAACAGTTCTTACTAAAAGCAAAATTAACTATGTAATTAATTAAAAAGTCTTTTTAATTTTTTCACAGTAAGAGTTTTTCCCATGTAATTGTATCCTTTTTTTCCCCAAAAAAATATTTCTGGCTTTTTGCTATTACAGAACTGGTAGTAAGGATAATTTTTCTTTAGGATTTTAAACACTGCAACTTGGAATGTTTAGAAGAATTTGAAGGCAAGATTTATGTGACAAAATGAAAACTGTGTCCCTGGTATTAACACGTAATAGATGGATTTTACAGAAAGTATGCAAGGAATATCTTTACTTTTTTGGAGAACATCCTGGAAGAACAATGAAAACATAATATTTGAAAGTTCTACTTATGATACTAGAATCTTTTTCTTAACATGTTTATCTTCCCTTTATTTTTCTTTGCTTTTAACTAGACTGAAGCCTGGAAAATATAAGAAATGCTTCTAATCTTATCACGTGGACTGGTGTTATGGAAAGGAATTTTTTTATTCATAAAAATATTGAAAACTGACAATTTAAAAGATTTATCTAATATGCCTTAATGCATTAGGCAGAGCTGGCGCTAGGCATTTTCCCACCTGATGCAATCTCTATAGATCCTAAATTCTGCGGATGAATTTAGTTATGACATTTCTAGATTTTGCTGCTTGGTGTGTCACTAAATTCTAAAAATTCTGCCACACCAACTCTATAACCAGCCCTTTTATGATTTCATATTTATTCAGAATATTCATATTACAAAAGAAATGAAATTAGCAGCTTTTTCTATACATTCTAAAATGCATTTAGTTTTTTAGAATAACATAAATCTTTAATTAAATCCAAAAGTTCTAAAATGAAAAGCAAACATATTGAAGAAAGAAACTGAATACAGAAAGAAAAGGAAAATTATTCTTCAAAAATATGTACAGTTATTATTATGGAAATTAACCAATTGTTTATAATTACAGCCTTAACTATAACTTCCCCTTTCGGTTTTCTCATCAAAATGCCATTGGATATTTTTTAAACTGAGGTTTAGGATTGTGAGACAGAGTGTGTTTCTGGCCTCCTCTTGCACGCTTGCTTCCTACCAGCTCTGGTAATTTGTAATTATTCGTCTTTGCGTTATCGCTGCCGACATTTGAATTTGTTACACGATAACTACATTACGAGTTTGTTGCGATGTGTTATTGAGCCATCTTTGATTAAAATTAAATTGTGTAGTCTTTGACTACTAGTCCACATTCTTAATTTGAATTGTATTGTTCCTGTTTAATTGGATCACCATAAGCTGTAGTGGATTTTGCTAGCATAAGAACATGTCCTTATGTTCTAAGGTCTTTTTAAGTAAGAGGTTTATTTAAACCTTTATCTGACTTTGCAGTTACTTTCAGACATAGCGATAATTTGCTTCATGTCTGTCAGGGGTTTGGGACTATTTAACTTTTATCAGATCAAGTGAAACCTCATAGATACATAGTCGAGAGATTGACAAGTTAGGAGATAAAACACACAGAAACTAGTATGAATATTGGTTTGCATATAGAAACAAATTTCTGATTGTGAAAAAAAAGTGCTTTGAGAAGGAAATTGATATAAATTAGCCAGGAATGTCTGGAAAGGCTTCAAATTAAAAAGATGCATAAATATTTTGTTGAGTTGTTTTGTAGCTTTTAATGTGACGTTATTTTAATATTGTTTAAGAATTAGTGTCATAAATTATTAGGGAGACAGGTAAGTAATGTCGTTTTCTTACCTTAAATTCAAATGAATAAATTTTTAACAAGTTTTTATTTTTAATCAATAGTATAATCACCCTCGTTTTCAACAACATTTTGCCATATAGTTTGCACATTTTCAATTCCGGACCAATAAAAATCAATTGGATTTTGAGTAAAATATCTCAAGATGGCATTTGACATCATCCAGACTTTCAAATATTTTAGCACTAAGAAAATTTTGTAGGGATTGGAATAAATGCATATTCGAGGGTGCGACATCAGGCAAGTATGGTGGGTGAGGCAGTACCTCCCACCCAATTCATTAATTCTTTCCAGTGTTCTTGCACAGTGTGGTCTTGGATTCCTGTTGCAGAACACCTTTTCTGTTGACGTTGGATATTTTTCGATTAAAGATTGGTTCACAATAAAGGTCTGTATTAACAGTTTGTCCAGGTTTCAGCAGTTCAAAATGAACAATTCTGCGAATCCTCCACCAAACACACAGAAGTGCCTTTTTGGGATTTTGTGGTGATTCATTTGGAGAGAGCCACTGCCTTTTGCATTTTGGATTATCATATAGCTCCATTTTTCATCTCCAGTAATCAAACAACCAAAAAAATGGTTCTGTATGGTTGCCATTAAAGCACTACGTTGCATGTGATGGATCAGTTGGCTTTCTATTCTTTGAACGGATTATGGGGGACCCAAACACCTACTCTGCTTATTTTTCCAATCTACAAAAAATGTTCTTAGATGGTCAACCAAGGTTGTTTAAGGGTGTTTGACAGTTCCTCGATTGTTTGACATGGATTTGCTTCCACTTCTGCCCTTAGCATGTTGTTGGTCTTCCTGATCAATAGGAGTCAGAGAGATCAGAATTATCGGATTTGAACTTGGAAAATCATCTTTGGCATTTATGAACCTCTAACGCATGTGGATAAACATCGCAGACGTTTTTGGTCGCAACTGTTGCGTTAACACCCTTGCAAAACTCAAAAAGCATTCAATGCCAGATATGCTCTTCTGGTATTTGGCTGGCCAAATTGCAAAAAAAAAAAAAAAAAAAAAAAAATTTAATATTGAATTATTAAGAAATGAGCAAGTAATCACAATAACGTTAAAATGACTTTAGCTTGCCTTCGAGATAGACAATGAGCTGACATATGACAATCAAATATCAACATGCGCAGAAATGACATTACTTTCTGATCCCCCTGGTACATATATTTTAAACTGTGACATGTTAATAGATTGTAATTTTAATGGTGCTTTTTTGACAAATATTTTTTAATAAATTCAATAGTAGCTATTTGAATCTATAATGACTAAGAGTATCTAATTACCCAATTTAATTATTTGTAACGAACCGGTCACCATTAAAAGTTATCTCTGCATATTAAAGGGAGTTATTGCCTTTTATGAATCTTTACCATGGGCACAAGATACAGCACAAAAATGTAAAATTAATGCAAAACTTAATTCTTTGCATCTAGTGAAACTTTAAACTATACAAAATAACTTATCACCTCTGGTGCTTTAGTGGCTAATTAGAACCTTAAAATACATTAACTGGGTTAGAACCTCAGGAACTCTACACAAAGTTATGACACTAACTGCGTCAGACAGGCAGAGCACAACTAACTTTCAAAACTTGCCAATCGGGCCTAGCTTTCAAGTTTGTTCTGATCAGCAGACCTCACTCTAGGCAAGCAACAGCCAGTCTTCTGTAACGAATCATGCTGATCATGATTTTACTTCCCATTTTAACCTATGCCATTTGATACAAACTCTACCTGCTATTTACTAAACCTCTAAACTGAGCATATATATGTCAAAATGAGATGTAAAAGAAAAAAATCAACATAAAGCTAACTGTAAGTAAAATGTAAATAAAATGTCACTAATCTTCTTTCAAATATGTCTTAACTTATCAAAAGAGTAAAGTATTTAATGCTACCTGATAAATTTTAAAAAGTTGATTTTATTTTCAAATTTGTTTTATAATTATGTTTAATAATAATGCATTCTTTTTGTGGATCTATTTTATTCCTAGGATGGTATCACAAAAGTGAAGTTAGGCATAGCTAATATCTTTAATTGAATTTATCCAGTTTTCTCATTTGTTGATAGGTCCTTAATTTTTTTTTCATTTTAATGGTACTTAAATGTACTTAATTTCCATGTGCAGAAATGTGTACAAACCCTGAAGAACCCAACTATCCAGCATTCAACTGGAATACTTTTTATTTTACCCCCTCAGCAACACCTCCAGGTTGTACATTACTGGCTTAGTATTAGGTCTGACTGTCTCAGCTCTTGGTACGTAAAATACACAGCCTCTGTTTCTTACAGTCTGCAAGGGCAGATTGTCCTGGCACAAACCATCTGAGTGGGTAGGGTGATGGTCAGACTATGGTTTTTCAGTTAGCTGCCTCACCTATCATGGTCTCCATGTACCCGGTGTAGTGGTTATGGGAAACCGGTTCAGTGTTAGGTGTCAAAAGAGAGTTCAGTTTTAAAAATCCACCTTCTATCAAGTGAGTTTAATAATACTCTCTCTAGGGGGCTAATTTTTGTAAAGAAGGATAAGTTAACTGCTATTTATCTCTCTATTCCTCACATTTTGCAAAATAAATAAATATTAAAATTTGGGACTTATCTACAAAAGAAGTAAGTGTGTTACTAGGCATGATGTGCAACTCTATTTAAAAACGGTTAAATAGTAGTAATGCAATGGGAAAGTTATAATGAGTGATTTGATTTTTGTTTGTTATATCCATTATTTATATCTGAATAAAGAACAAACTTTTCCTTCAGATTTTCTCAGAATGATTAGCACAATTTTTGCAGCATCTTCATCAGCTTTCATGGTTGAACAAAATTTCATAATAGAAATAAGATATTTTTTATGTATCCAGCTTTCAGTATTTCCTGAGTTTTCGGATAGTTAAGCTTCATAGTGACATTTTTTCCTCTGTATTTGAAAAAATTTTAAGAGGTTAATTATGAATATTAATCTATTTTTAGAATATAGGTTACCTCCACTTTGCAAATCAGATAATGCAAAGTGAAGCACTGTTGATTCGTATGAATAGAGTTACCTGTCTGAAACAAAATTGCATATGTTTATTATATTTTCATTCAATATTTTTTAAATCATTTCTGCATTAAAAATGAGATTAAAATTCTTTTCATGATGATCATAAAACAAATGGTATTTGGTAAATATGGAATATAAAACATAAGTGGTTATTGGGTATATGAACAACAATCTTGCTTGTGCCTGTTCATGATTTTTATTATTAATTATTATTATTATTTCCAATAAATATTGTTTGGGTTATACATTCAAACTGCTGTCAAACAGATTATTCCATGCAACTTGTCTGCCTTCAGATAACGTTTGGTTGTTCATTTTGCTGATCCCTGCAGGCATTCTGTTATTTGCATATGAATGCTAGTCTCCAAATTAAAGTTAGCACATGTTAAGAGAAACCGTCATAAAAAAAGATAACATTTACAAAAAAAAAAAAAAAGACAGGAAAAAGAAATACAGGTCTTGTCTTTATAGAAGAAGCCAGGTCAGCTTCTAGAGTTTTTGAATGCTTGCAAGATTTAGTATCAAGATGTTTTTGGCAATGAATCTGTGTTTTTATTATTATTATTATTTATTTATTTATTTAAGGTGTATGAATCAAATATCCATTTGAGTTAAATTATACTTGCAATGGAAGATTATTTAAATTTTAAATATGTCATTTTGCCAGTTTAGTTAGTAAAAGAATTTTTGTGAAAAATATTACTTAAATGCAGTGTATTTTCTAAATACTTATTTACTTATTTTAGGACATGGAAAAGTGGGCCAAAACATTAAATCAGAAGAAAGAAAATGCGAAATTGGGCATAGTTGCCAGTCCTCCAATTACTGTAACTCAGAGCGTTGCTATTAGTAATGATATATCCAGGCATTCAGCTGCTGCTGATGCTGGCTTTGCTATTCTTGAAAAACGGACTACACTTGCTGAGCGAAATGCACTAATGGCTGAATTAGATAGCAAATTAAGTGTATCAGGTATGAATGCTATTTAAAATAATAAACTCTTTTTTCTCCTTTATTTACTGTTTATTATCTAAGCATATTAGTAGGTAACCCACAGTAAATCAATAATCATCTGCAAGTCAGTATGTTTATAATACACTCTATTGCAAAAAAACATGTGCACCCAGGAAAAAATTGACCCTCAACTATGAAATGCTGTAAGAATTCAGGAACCTGCAGTTTTATTTTAATGTGACCTCATCGCAATAAAGATGTTAAAAATTCACAGCAAATGCAATACAGTATCTCATTTTATTAACTGAAATGAAAGCTAATTAAGTGTTTACTTTAGCTATTTCACAAACGTTCATTTCTTGACTCTGTAGTCATCTATATGTCTTCGGCAGGATTTGCTTGGAAATACTGAAAATTTAGCAATTGAATAAAAACAGTGAAGATTAGTTTTTTCAAAAGAGAGTTGAGTGACTGTATCTCAGTGAAAATTTACCACAAAGATAGAGGGTACTTAACATATTAATGCAACCACCTTCACTCAATTAAGCGATTTTTTTTTACAGATGAAATGATAAATTTACCTTTAGAAAAACTGAAAAAGATATATTTTGATGATATTTTTAAAAGACTAACAATTTATATTTACCATGCATGTTTAGAAGACAAACAATCAATATTTATTGTAAATCGACAAATATTATCAACATATCAGAAAAAAACATGTAGCAATTTAAAATAGAAATTTTAATTATTTAAAAAGTGTTATATGACACATTAAAGAACAAAGCACCGCATTTCTCAGAAATTGTTTTGTATTTTTCCCCCGCTTTTCTTCTCCTTATGAATATATCAATCTGTTTTCTTTTAAAAAAAACTGAAAATTATACAAATCGGGCACCGTGCTCAACCTCAGCTTTGCGCGTTGTCTATTTGTCAGCAATTCACGATTAGTCGTGTTGCAAAGTACTCTGACTGCTCACAGCTATGTTGACAACAATTTGCAGCCAATTGTACTGCCTATACTAACAGGTCAACCAGGTTGTTTTTTAGCAGGACAACACTTGGCCACATCAGCATGACTTTCCTAACGTCTTTGATGTGTTAATATCCGTGACCTCCCTGCTGGGTCTTCAGGCCTGCCCCGTATTGAACATTTTGGGACATGTTAGGTAGGCAAATTCAGCTATATAAATATGTCCCAGCTTGCTGACCATTTGTGGCATAATCCATCATCAATCCATCATTGGCAACTTCATAGACCCCCATGCCGAACTGAGTATTACCTTGTATAACTGGTAGCTCTTTGCATTGCTACTTGTTTATAAAACATTTTTTTCATCCCAGTTTTTTGATCATTTTTTTATCTACTTGAGCACTGTGCTGCTGCTGAGTTTCGTAGTTTGGATCAATTCTTTCTGGGTGCATGTGTTTTTATGGAAGAAAGTGTACATAAATTGATAATCAACAATAACTCCGTTTACATAGTATAATAACAATGCTATTAATGGATACCTTTAAATGAGTATTTGAAATTAAGAAAAAATATAATTAGAATCTGTAAATATGTTACTTGACCAAAAAAAAAAGTCACACTGTAAAGACGCAAACATGTTGCCATGTGAGCACATGTATCTCTTGATTATGCAAATTATTGCATTTGCAAACCATTTAAGCATCTAACATGCAAGATGTAAGCAGCAGTGCGTGAAACCATCAGTTTGAGCAGCATCATGATTACAATAGAGGAGCTTTTGTACTCTTTCTAGAGATTATGGTTGTCATATTGATGGAAATTTATGTTCTGTAATTTTGGTTTTACTAAGAGCTACAGTGCTTTTTGCCCATAGTGTGGTGGAACCAATTTTTATTTTTTATATATTCAAAAATATATTTCAGTGAATGGTTATATGAAGTTTTTAATATTTTAAATCTCAACTTTATCACAAATTAAAGGGTATCTTATCTGTAAGTTACATTTTTTGTACTTATTGCAGCGACAAAGACTACTCTTGTTTCATACGGTGATGACAGTGACTCTGATACAGAACCAGATTCATCTCAGCCTGATGTCAAAAAACCTCAGAGTAACAGAATAGATGAATCTAAATTTGTAGATCTGTCTAAAATGGCTTGCCTATTATGTAAAAGACAGTTTCCCAGTAAAGAAGCATTATCAAGGCATCAGCAGTTATCAGACTTGCATAAGGTAGGGAAAATTTCACTGTTAAATTGAAATAAATGATATTGTACTGTATTAATACTGTATCATGTTTAAATAGTGTATTTAGGTACGAAAAACAAACTAATTGTTGAAATTCTGCATATATTTACTTGTTCCTAATTGGAGTTTTGTTATATAGCTTTGGGGGAAAGGACAAACTGTATTTATTTATCCGATGAATATATTGCACACAATATAATAAATTTCTCTTGAATTTTTTTATTTATTATATTAACTAATAAAGGTACCTTCCTTTGCACCGAATATCTGTTTTTGGAAAGTTTCTGTTTCATTTCTGTACGCCAAAAACCGTGTATTCCTTTAAACCTTGAATCATTGTAAAATCTTTTTTTTTTTTTCCCCCCAAAATTGAATGGCCTAAATTTATATAAGATGATAGAGGGAAATTTTATATATTATGATTAAGGGGGAAATGGAGAGTGTGAAATTCGATATCCAAGCATATTTGTAATTTTACATCATAGTGTTAAAAATTAAAATTTTTATATAAAAGTCCTATATTATTAGTTTTTATGTGAGATGTATTCTAATTATATTGATCTTCTTCTTTCAGAAAAATTTAGCCAAGATTTCTGGAAATACGTAAGTTTGGTTTATTTAAATTTAAAAATAAACCTTTTTTTTTAACAATGCAAATTTTTTATTTGTTTACAATTTAATTTTTTTATATAATTTATTAATATTTTATTAATTAATTAAGAATTATTATTAATTAAATAAATAACAAATTTAAATAATAATTTGTTACAATACCAATTTAAATGTATTACATTTTTAAAATGTAATACATTTAAATGTAATTTTAAATTGAATTTATCGAAATACCTCACATCTGTGCTAAATGCTAATTTCCATAGTCATTTGCTAATGAATATAAGAGCAAATGAAGTTATTCATTACAACTGGCTCAATAACACATGTGGGATTAAAGTGCTTTCCACAAAGAGCTGTATTAGTAGAGGTTTTAAATATGCAGCATCTTCGTAAAAAATTTGTCTGCCTACTACACCTGTTCCACATATATTTTTTGCCACCATCAGTTAGTTGTGACACATTTTAACTTATTTCATTGCAAATTGTATTGTGTTAGTGTTTTTCAACTTCCTTGAAGATATCTTCAAGTGTAGTTGTTCTATGCAGTCTATTCATAGAAGATAATTTGCAAATTCAGCATTGACCCCTCAAATAAGCACTGAAAATTGGGCAATATCAGTAATATGTGTCAGCTTATTAAGAGTTAACTGAAGCCATTTGAAATTTTTCCCCTTATCTTTTAATTGATTTTTGATGTGGCCTCTGATGTCCACATCATCTAACAGTTATAACAGCATACTTAATTTAATTAATCCACCATCGATAAACGGTTTCCCTTTTGTGGCTAATAAATGGACTATTTGCCAGCTGACCTTATTTACTATTTCACTATCATTTTTACCACAAAAAAAAAAAAAATGGGATGACACATTCTGTTTTAAACTTCCCAATTTTAATGATCATTCATTTTCTGTGAGATCTGAATACCATGTCCCATGTTTAGTTTGATGTATACTGTACTCTTTTTGCACGGCTAATTGCATAAAAACTTTGAAATTAAATAACTGGCACGACATTCGAGGTGTACTTTTCTCATTTGAATTTGAGAGTGAGATGTTAATGGCATGTAATGAATAAACTAACAAAACAGAAGAATGTATAAAACCCTTTATTTAATCATAAAATTAACAAATGACCCAACTTGGGTTTGGCTTAACAGAAATACATAATAAATAGTAATTTCAAGATGTGTAGGTTAGCCTATTGGCTCACAGAGTACTTTAATGTGCAGGGAGAGCTTTGATCTGAAGAAACTGGTGAGACAAGCCTAAAGGCAAGAACATATCAACGGCATTAACGCAACTCGTAAATAATCACAGCACAACGTGCTAAAAAATCGGACTTAAAAAAAATGAATAAAAAGTGAAGGCGAGCCCGATTTGGCCCTTGCACCATACTTTTCTGACTCACCGTAGCTGTATATTTTTTTACTTGTTTTTAATGAAAACTAATTTTCAAATATTTTTTAAAAGGTTTTTCACATCTGCAACTAAATTATGTATCTGTACAATTCCTATATATATTATTATTTGTTTAGTATTTATTTTGAATTATATTTTAACATTTATATTCTCATTTCATATATATATATTCTCATTTCATATATATATATTCTCATTTCATTTAATTCTGATATTCTCATTTCATTTGACAGGTGACAGTGAAATGCATCTGTATAACAGGACATAGGAATAAATACATAAACAGTGATGTAGCTGTGACTGTTTTAACCCTCTATCAGGCACTGTGAACTACTATATTCATGTATGACATTCATGTATTTAAATTGAAAGTAACATGCGAGTGTGCTTTAGTATTTAAAATGAAAACAAAAATATATCTAAACAGTCTCAATTTACAAACTAAATGTAAAATAAAGTACCTAATTAGCAGATTTAATAATACTAGTGTACTTGAATTTATTTTTGGAGTGTCTGAAAAGTCTTAACTGTATTAAATCACAACTGTGACTGGCAACTGTTTACAATACAATAGAGGGTTGTTGTACTGAAGCAACAAGTCATGATATTCAATCCTGATCTTGGATATTTGCATATTTATGCATAATGAAACAAATTAGTTGTGCCTGGCAGAAGGTTATATCTAAGAGACACAAGAACTCTCAGGCTTACTGTTCAAGATGGAATTTAGAACTAATCGTGTGATCATCACCACCATATGTTAGATGTGATTGAAAATTCTAATGTGATCATTTTGTTTTTATAGCATTATTTCATGTGACAAAAAATTTCCTGCTGATTCTTGTTGATGATTTGATTTTATTTTTTATTCATTTTGTAATTAAAAGAATACTTTGTATGTTTTTGCGTATTTATTGATGGAAGTCAATGTATCATTGAGAAGAATGCAAAGAAAACTGGTAATTAAACTTTAAAATGATCATATAAATTTGTAGGCATCATTTCAAGCTAATTAACATATAATTAATTAGTCATTAGTGTAACAATAATAATCACTGAATACTTTAATAATGAGGATCATGACATTTTATATTGCGTCACTTAATTCTGGTACATGGCAATTAGAAGTATTAACATTTTGGTGTAGATTTATTACAAAAAGAGGTATGTGGAATTGCTGTCGGACTGGAAAAGAAATTTTCGCAATGCATTATTTTGTGTGTGCACTATTTGTGGGACTTTGTCTCAGGTTGGTTGATCTATGGGCAAACACACCATGAGATGCAAGAAATCTATCACTCAGAGAATTGTTTTGAAAGAAAGAAATTAACTATTATGCTGATAGTATAGAAGTATAGTATGAAGGGAATATAACAAATTTTTATTTAAGGAAGAGAAATATTGTGTTTCTTGGCTTAAATTGGTATTCTTTATTCTGTATCCATGCATTTATTTATCATGCTTCCATACATTGTGTTTATTCAGTATTTATTTCTTATCTAATATGGAAAGTTTTGAGCAAGTTATGTAATTTTTCATAATTTAATCTTTTTGGATTCCATTTCAGTTTCGGGTTAAGAATTTTGTGTAATTATGTGTATAGAAACGAGAAAAATTTAAAAATCCTTAAATATTATTGGGTCATCCGAAAAGTTCTGCAGTTTTCTTTTATGATAAATATTTATGAAACAATACAAAAATATAAACTTTCATTGAATGACATAAGAAACGAACGACATTTTATTCTATGACTTTTGCCAGCTTTCAGTTAGCTGGAAAATTCCTTTTTTTCTCAAAAAAATAATAATAATAAAGTCATTAAGCTTATTTATAAAGAAATTACTGATGTGCTGTTTCTGTTAAACAATCTCCAAATAATTTAACTCCTAGGCCATTGGAGAATTTTGAACAAAGTCCATGAGGGCAAGGTCTAGTGAATATTAAGGGGAATAGAAACATCTCAGCTCTGTTAAGTTTTTGTGTGACATTCATTGTTTTGTTTGGGTCAAGCATCTTATTGCAAGTGAATTGTACTTTTAATGACAGTAATGAGCCATTACTGTTTTGCCTTTTTCCACATTTTTATTTTGCATACTTTTTCATTTACTGAAGACGATAAGACAGTATTTTAGCGGGAAATGTCATTATTTTGACTCACAAATTAATATCTTTGAAGTAACCAATTAACCATTAAGCTACCGTGCATTGCACAAATAGCCACTGGTCTTGCTCATAATTTTAATTCTGTATCATATCATGCAAATATCTGAAGAAAGTCAGATTTCACTTCAGCTAGAAAATTTAAGTAATATTTTACTAACGTAAACCTTTAATTGCATTTTTAAAGAAAATTGCTCAAATTCAATGTTTCAGTAAAAATTTGAATTTCTGTTTGAAACAAGCACGTTCAGACATCATAGTCGAGGATGTTTTCTATTTTTTGGACATTTTTCAAACCATTTCTAGTGAAATTTGATTGTTTGCCAAGTAGTGAAAATTTTTCCTAATTTTTCACTTCCGAAAATTAGCAAAAAGTTTATTAGAAGAAAATTAGTATTTTCGCTTTACACTTTTATATCTTACGTATGCTCAATTACAACAGGGTTCGTACGGTCCTTAAGAGTCCTAAGTTTTTTTAAATCGATTTTTGGTCCATAAAAGTCCTTAATTTCGGCCAGAATCGTCAGAAGGTCGATAATTTTTAATTATCTGAAATTTCTGACTATTTTTACAACTGCCATTTTGAGTGTGAATTAGCATTTTGGAGGAATACTTTTGGCAATTCTCTGATCAATATCGTTATCTTTTGAATGGGTGAATGCTTTTATGGGTTATAATTTGTTCCTATTTCTAATATAAAGGGTGGGATAGAGTTTCTGAGCAATTGTGAAACATAAAGTGTTTGAAATTATTTCATTTTTTCTAGTTAAGAGCTCTTGACCCTTTCGTGGGCCGTGGGAAGATTACTTCCCACCTACGTGATCCTGGGAAATACACCTGTGGGAAGCACGAAACCCACTATAATATATTGGCTTTGGTATTATAATGTTGGGAACTGTAATTCCCACTTTAGTATTGTGCTGCCATCTGTGTTCAATCGATTGAAAACAGAATTGCCACATTTGTTTTGAAAGTTCGAACGCGTTGTGCAAGATCTGTTCCACCGAGACACCTGTTTTGATTTGACATTTGCATTGCTATACGATTCTGCTACAACTGTAAGTAAAACACCGTTTTTATTATAATAATGTTCTCTTATTTTGTATATTTCTGCAGTAACTATCTAATATTGAATAATAAATAATGGGGGAAAAGTGAAAGTGCTATTGCATTGTGTATGAAAGCCACGTGCAATAGGTATGTTGGGAAAATTGGAATATTTTGGAAAATATCATTCAATTCTACTGAGAAAGAAAAGGATTATATTGGCATGATTTTTACCGAGGAAATTTTGCAGAATATTGTTGACGAAACTCGTATGCAAAGCAGCCTAAGAAAAGGAAGAGATTGGGTCATACCACAAAAGACATTATCCTGAACTGGAAAGAAATCACATAAGAAGAATTGAAAGCATGGGTAGGTATGCATATACTCATGGGCATACATCAATTGTCTGAGCTGAAAAACTATTGGAGCACAGACCGTATTCTTAATGTTCAATCAGTAGCAAGAATAATAATCGCAAAGAGGTTCAAAAAAATAACTGAGACTTTACATGTAAACGATAACAGCACAAATCCATGTGGGCAAGTTAGGCATGATAAACTCAGACCAATCCTCTCACACCTCAATGATTCCATACCTAACCATAAAGTCTACGAACCTTCGTTATTCCATACCATAAAGTCTACGAACCTTCGTCAACATTATGAATAGATGAATGTATGATAGCTTTCAAAGGGAGAACTTCATTGAAGCAGTATATGCCAATGAAGCCTATAAAAAGAGGTTACAAGGTGTGGTGTTTAGCAGACTCTAAGACTGGATATATTCAAAAATTTGAAATTTATTGTGGAAAAGAAACTTAAGGATAAAATATGGAGTTTATGGGAAACAAACTGAACTAACAGAAGATGTGAAACAGACAGATCATCTTATAGCCTATGATAATTCTTTGACATCTTTTAGGCTTGCAAAAAGTCTACTTATAAGTGGTCTGTTTTCTGTGGAGACTGTGAGGCCGCAAAAGAAGCAATAAAGTGGATAGACAAAAAGACTGTTACATTGTTGACTATTGCACACAATTCAATGATTATTACATCTGTAAATCGTACACAAAAGGACAGTACTAAAGCAGAAGTACCTTGTCCTAAAGCTGTCACCGTATATAACGATATCATGGGAGGGGTTGATTGCTTCGATCAAAGAAAAGAAAGTTACCAAATAGGAGGAAGATCTGTAGAAAGTATCCAACATTGTATTTTTGATTTTCTTATTGACCTTGGCATCGTAAATAGTTTTATACTGTGGCAAGTAAACAAGAGAAACAGAAATTTAGACCAGCTAACATTCCATATAGCATTAGCAAGTCAACTAATAGACGAATATTCCTCGAAAAAGGAAAGGCCGTCCTGCTAGCTTCCAAGGAAGCAAAAAGGTGTGCAGTTCCGGATGATATACGCTTAGCCAATGTAGGGAAATCATATGCCAAAGATATGGTTTCCAACTATAGACGATGTAGGAAATGTAGCACAAAGGCCCAAGAAAGAGGACCCGCATATATGTGTGCAGTATGTGATGTACCCTTGTGCATTGCAATAAGTGTTCTCATCTTTTCACGGCAAATAATCGTCTTTAAATTGAATTTTCTCTATGACCATAAAGGGTCCCGTGGGAAGTATACTTCCCACCCCTAGAATTTAAATGTAAACAAAAAATTTGGCAAAATAAAATATATTCCCTTAAATGCTATTGTTAGTTGATAATAAAACATAAAAAAACAGGAGAAATTCAAAAGAGAAATAAATGGCCCATGAAAGGGTTAAACAACTTTTTGCTTTTGGGGATGTGAATTCATTTATTAAATAGCTCTAAATTTGGAGTCTTATCAACATTGGCGATTTTAAGATCAGTTTCTATTGAAAATTTTTAATTCCGAGATCTGGGAATTTTTCAACGTTTTTAGAACATTGTAACATTGATAAGTTTCATTAAAATAATGGTAATATATTGTAATTACTTTTAAGAAATAACATTAAAATAAAGCATTTTTATTTCCTGGTAAGAGTTTCCTCATGTAATTGTCTCAGAATATGCATCAGTTTTCTCTATAAAATTAATTTTAGACATTTTTATCTTTTTTTTTTTTTTTTAAATATTTCTGGCTTTTTTGCTGTTACTGAATTGCCAGGGGTAATTTTCCTTTTGGATTTTAGACATTACAGCTTGGAAAGATTTATAGACCCACTATTCTGGAAGATTCCAGAAAAATGTGGTAAAATGAAAAATGTCTCCATGGTATTAATACATAATTTCTTACAAAAACATAATAGTTGAATATTTTAGTTCTGATACTAGAATCTTTTTCTTAATATTTTTATCTTCCCTTTATACTCTTATTCTTATATTTTTCACTAGACACAAGCATAAAATATCAAAAATGCTTCTAATCTTATCATATGGACAGGCATTATAGAAAATAATTTTTTTATTAATAAAGAAATTGAAAACTAACAATTTAAACAATTCATCTAATATGTCTTAATGCATCATACCCACCAAATTGTGCTGCTTGGTGCCTTTGTAAATTTTGCTTCCAATGCCTGTTCTAAATTCTAGAAGTTTTGGCATTTCTAGATTTTGTTGCTTGATGTGTGAATAAATTCAAAAAATTCTGCCACACCAGCTCTGTAACCGGACCTTACCATAAATATTGCATATTTCTTCTGAATGTTCCTATTACTATAAAATTAGCAGCTTTCTCTATACATTGTAAATGCATTTAGTATTTTAGAATAACAGAAATCTTTAATTAAATCCAAAAACTGTAAAATGAAAAGGAAACGTGAAAGAAAAAAACTGAATACATTAAGAGAAAGGAAAATTATTCTTCAGAGATATGACAGATATTATGTAAATTACCTAGTTGTTTACAATTTCAGCCTTTACTATAATTTTCCATTTCTATTTTCTCACCAGAATGCAAATCACTTAAACAGGTTTTTGGAGTGCAAGAAAAGAATGTCTTTCTGACCTCCACTTGCTCCCTGCATTAGTTCCTGCCAGCCCTGATAATTTGCAATTATTCGTCTTTACATTTTCGCTGCCGATGTTTGAATTTGTTATGACAATAGAGTTACTGAGTCAGCTTAAAATGAAATTATATAGTCTTTATGATTAGTCCATATTTTTAGTTTGCATTTGATTCTTCTTGTTTAATCACATCACCATGAGCTGTAATTGTTATGTTCTTCTTTTTAAATAAGAAGCTTATTTAAATCTTTGTAGTTACTTTCAGATATAGCGATAATTTGCTTCACATCTGTCCGGAGGGTTTTGGACTATTTAACTTTTACCAGATCAAGTAAACCCTCATAGGTATATTGTGGAGAGGTTGACAAGTTAGGAGATAAAGCACGTAAAAACTTGCGAGAGCATTGGTTTGCATATTGAGACAAATCCAATTTTTAGAAAAGATGCTTAAAGAAAAGGCAATCTATAGAAAATAGCCAAAATGTTTGGGAAGGCTTCAAATTAAAATGAAGGATAAATATTTTGTTGAGTGTTGTTACAAAACAAATGTTTTACAGCTTTTAATGTGTAATTATCCTAATATTGCTTAAGAATCAATGTCATAAATTACATGTATTTTAAATTGTGAAATTTTATTAGATTTTGATAGGGCCTTTTTTTAACAAATATTGTTAAAAAATAAAATTCAATAGTGACCATGTTAATTACTTATAACTAACTGATCACCTTTAAAGATTATCTCTGCATTTTAAAGAGAGTTATTGCCTTTCATTAACCCTTACCGTGGTCACAAGATAAAACACAAAAATGTAAAAATTCATGTAAAACTTATTCTTCGCATCTAGTGAGACTTAAAATAATGCAAAACAACTTGTCACCTCTGGTGCTTTAGTGGATTATTACGACCTTAAACTATATTAACTGAGTTACAATCCCTGGAACTCTACAAGAAGCTACGACATTAACTTCATCAGACAGACCTCAGCTAACTTTCAAAATTGCAAACCGTGCTTACATCAGGTCTCTCCTATGCAAGCAGGAACAGCAACAACAGCCAGTCTTTTGTTTTGGATCATGCTAATTGTGATTTACATAGGTTAAACTATGCCACTTGACATAAAATCTACTTACTATTTACTAAACTCATAGAGTGAGCAAGTATGTGACAAAATGAGACATTAAAAAAAAATCAAAGCTAACTGTTAGTAAAAACCTAAATAAAATGTCACTTATCTTCTTTCAAATATGTCCAGTTAGTATGAGTGTAAAATATTTAATGATAAATTTCATAAACTTCATTCTCAAACTTACTAATAATAAGTATATTTAATACTAATGCATCATACTTATGAATCTATTTTATTTTTAAAATGGTATTACGAAAGTTCAGCATAGATAATATTTTTAATTGAATTTATTCAGTTCCCATTTGCTTATAGATCCTTAATTTTTTCATGAATGGTCCTTAAAAGTACTTAATTTCCGTGAGCAGAAATGTGTACGAACCCTGTTACAATGATTTAATAAAATTAGAAAGTAAACGAATATTTCCTGAAAATTCTATGCATTTTCTTTTCCGATGTTTACTTGAATATCCTCATTTTTAATCCTTTTTCCTGTATTACTGCTATATTTTTTAGTATAAAATCTTGAAATTTTCAGTTTCCAAGGAATATATTTTTTTAACTTCTTATCGATAACTTTTGGATGTTTTTCTTTCCTTTTACATTGCTAATCATGATATTTTCAGTTATTTCCTTGTAAGGACTCGGGGGGGGGGGGGATTTTTTTATACACTTACTACATTGTTAGAGTTAATCTATGAAAGATTCAGCTTGAATGGAATTTATCTGGGTATACTATTGCGATAGATTAAAGTTTCTCCAATGCTGATGTATTAGTGTGTAGGTAATGAAGATTTTAACCCACTTCATAAACATTTTGAATCTTTTCTCCAAGTTATCACGGACTTGCATTAACCCTAGTTTAAGGAACATGCTACTTCGTACATTTAGTAGAAGTAAATGCTTCTAGTGTTTAAAAGTCTGCTGAAAGTTATAAAATATCTCAAGGAAATTGAAATAGTTATTACTTCTGTTAAAAAAAGGTGCCAGAAAATTTAAGTAGTTTTTGCACTTGCAGACATGCGAGCAATTTAATTGGCTATTGTCAAACTAATACTACAAAATATGAGCGTAAAGTTCTCCCAAAATAATTCCACTGTGCAGAATTGCATTAATTCATGGTTTGCAATCAATGATTAGTGATCTGGTTTAAGTATTATTTAATGGTTAGGGAAACTGATTAGAGTATTTTTTCTATTTATTAGAAAGTACAAATAATAAAACTTTTTTTTTACATGAAAGTATTTTGAATCATTTGCATTTATGAAATAGTAACTGAAGATATTAGTTACTATTTAAAGTTAATTCATTATAAAAAGATATTTTTATTTTGAGTGGCATAGTGAAAACTGCTTCACTTTTTACTCTGACCAAATACTGATGAAATGAAAGGCAATAGCTGTGATCATCAAAATATCACAAAACCCATGACCATAGAGGGAGGGCATGAGTTTGCATAAGATGTAGTGTTAAAATTTCGAAAACACATTTCTAGGATACTTTTTAATTTTAAAATATTGACTTCAAATTGATATTTGTAAAAGTGCTAATTTTTAGTTAATAAAATAATTTTTCTTTAAATAAAGGGGTTTAAGTCAAAGTTTACATCCTTTTCCAGCATTAAATTTCAATAGTTTCCCTTAAAGCATCATTAATACAATGAGGAACAGCTATAGCACTGAATATTTCCTCAAACTACTACTTCATACAGCAAAATAAAGTGCTTGATACTAACATTGATTAAAGGTGTAAAAAATACTGATTACTTTCAGTTATTGTATGAATATTCACATTTTATAGGTGACTAAAAACTTTCATAGTCACAAGTGAACATGGGAACAAAATACTTTTAAAATTATTATTATTCAATAGTAATGAAGACGATGACAACTTGCAGGCTTTTTCTGATATATTAGCAGCATAGATATACTGATTTGATACCTAGGAAGGAATACTTCAAGATATATACTCATATTTATCCATGAATACTTTCCATTTGTTATGTTCCTACTGTAATTTGATCCTTTAGAAAACAAATTCTTCACCTAAATTTTTTTCTCCTCTATTTTTGTATGATAAAATTAGAAAAAGGAGAGGTAAATGCGTGAGTGAATACCTTAAATGAAAGTAAATGACAAATTCTCACTTTTGAATGGTTTTCCACCTTTTTGTAAATAGAAAGTAATATCTTAATTGTATTATCAAAAATAAATGGCAAAAATGAAACAAATTTTATTAATTTCGAAAATGTCAAAATACAAATTAAAATGCAACCAAAATGTATTACTTCAGTAACCATAAGCAAACCTCCCAAACATATTACATGGTCAATTTCTTATTTACAATGCAATTACTGAGAGTTATTCAAACATGTAATGCATCTACATCTCAAAATAGAAAAATCCATTAACAAATGAGTTTAAAAATTATGTAACATAGCAATCATTCAGTTTACAGAAGGAAAAATACAATTCACATTTTCACAAAACACTCAAATTCTCAAATCTAGCACTAAAAATAGAGCATGCAGTATATAAATTGCTTTTAAACAGCTGATTTGATACCATATATATTATATATGTATAACAGCTTGCGCACTTTTAAACATAATCTTATCAAAATTTTTCAAGTGTTTTAACATATGTGAAATTAAAATAATGAAAATTTCAAATTTTTGGGTACACAAAATTAAATAATACAGAAGTGTATTTTTTCTTCTGCATATATGTTGAAATTTAAATATTTCTTTTGGTGTGATAAATTTACTAGGAACTTTAATACAGAGTTATAACGTGTACATCTCAACACTATCGAGCAACAAATGTATGAAATCCATGATGAAGAAACAGTCCATAAATTATTTTTAATTAATATTAGAACAAGAGAATTTTACAACCAATTTCTCATTTCAAATCAGTATTGTCTGAAAGTTAATATGTTTTCCATAAAATCTATCTTAAGTGAGAGGTATGTTTGTGTTCATTCAGTTTAAAAACAAAGTACTACAGACTGCAAGATTATTCCTAAAATATCAAAGCATTGAATATAAATAAAGCTCAGTTTTGGAAAAATTACCAAACTGATTGCATGATTAACTTAACAAAGATTAATTTATCTTCTGTTAAAAATCAACGAGTCATTCACATGAATTTGTACGCACAGTGAAAACACAAAAGAAAAAAAAGTTGAGCAGCATACCCAAACATAAATGTCAAAAAAATATGAAATTGAATATTTATACAGAAACAATATATACAAATCAATATATTTGATTTTATTATGCAGTCATGAAATATCACCACACTTTTCACAGCTTAATGTACAATATAATCTGTCTCATGAAAATATCAAATCACTTTACTACACAGCTAAAGTCACAAAAAGGAATCTGCTCAATATGCACTCAAATTTTTTTCAAATCAAACTTTTACACAAATAATTAGTAATCAATTTAGATTTAATCTCAAACTGGAGTTTCTTTTCAAAATTTGAAAAGCCAATTCTTAATAAACAAAGAAAACTGAAGATTAAAATTTTTTATTAAAAAAAAATTCTCAAAAGCAAAAAAATGCTCATGCTGAAATTTAAATACAGTTCAAAATTTTGATTACATTGCTTAAAATTATCAAGAACTACTGATATAAAAACTCAACAAAAATGCAATAAATGCAGTCAAATGGTAATGTCTTTTTGATATAAAACTACTCTTCAAAGTACAGAAGAAACCCATTATGTGTACCAAATAAACAAATTAAATACACATACTTTAATATGATTAAATAGTCCAAATTTTCAAATTGCTAAAAAAAAGGACAACTCACCAATCCCAAGCAAACGATTCTTACGTTTGAATACAAATACATACTTAACACTGATAAAGCAAGATATATAAGAATTTCATTGCAAAGCAAATTTTATTTAACTTAATGAGTTTCTTCTGCAGATAGACGACTTTAATGAGGAGAATAAGCTATCCATCTTGCTAGACCTCTCATCACCAATTCCCGATTGATGAATATACTCTGAAAAAAAATATAATTTCAAAATATAAAACTGTATTAAAATGTAACATAAAATATCAATACACAATATTTGAGAGGAACTTTATAAATTCAGTTACAAGAGTAGATCAATTTGAGCCACAATATACATTCCTATTGGTGAATTAAGCTAATAGATTTAATCTTGGAAAATCTTTCAATGACCTTCTAATTACCCAAGTTTCTACAAATTAAACTTTAAAAAGATCAAAGAACACTTTTCCAAAACTACTTTCTACCTTTTGCTAATAAACATCTAAGGAAGTCAAAGGTCAATCACTTCTTCACTCTTCGGATCAATCAAGCCATACATGTGTATTTGAAAATATTTATTCTTATGCAGGTGAGGTGGTATATATGGTCCATTTTAAAATTTTGCTTACATATGCTCTCCCAAAAGAAAATTCAAGATAAATTAATATTTAAAGTTTAATTTGAGCAATGCACTGCATAAAGATGATTATAAATATATTTCTACAATTTAAAATATAAAAAAACCAACTGAAATTTTTAGATATAAATTTAACAAATCAAAAATAATTTGTCTTCCACTTCATGTCAAGTCCATTACCTTGGGATTATTCAAAGTAGTCAACCTTAGTTTTACTAGTTTATCTAAGTTACTGAATACCTACTTCCCCTTTTTTAGCAGAATTACAAACTAATTGTGGGTAAAATAATCTCATAGGCATTCACAATTTTTGTGTTCCATACTAGCAAGGCAGCATTTAGATAAATGTATTACAAACTGGCAAGAATGAATATACACTGCTCATCTCAGATTACCTTCTCTTCTTTGCACTTGATGATTAAGTGGATGAACTGTCAACCTGAGTGTGACCACATGCACCTTCTCATTGCCAAGTGGACACATGGCTTTGCTGCCCGAAAACGGATGAAGACGGTCATCTTATTTTCTCAAACAGCTTACTTTGACTGAGATATTCAGCAAACAATGACTTTCAGCACTTGTAAGTACTCTACGGTATGCAACATGATGTATACGTAAAAATGTTGCCTTTTCATTTTAATTAATAAAAACCTCTTTTCTTTAAAAATATTTTTTTCTCCTATCTTCAATCCATACAGGAATTAATTAAAGTGTATGTAGACAAGCGATTTGGATAGTTGGAGTTCTACTATAAATACGTGTATCAGTGGCGTATCTACTGTACATACGTTAGTAACTGATGGAAAGATACCTTTAATGTTTTTTCACAAGACTTGATAATAAAATAGACAAAATGCATTTTTGAATTTTCAGTCTTATTACAATAACAGTTTTCATATTTTATGAAAATAAAAGAGCACACCAAGGGAGCAGAGATCTAGATAGATAGGTCTAAATGCATACACTATTCAATCTCTTACTTCTTATATTTTTAAATTCTCATAACTTTCATTTCATACATGCAAATTAGAAAAAATGATAGCTCATTTCATCACACTTTGTTTTCCATAATCTGTTTTATTTGGCCTAAAAAGTGTTTTAAATTTAAAACTTCAAGAAAGAAAACATGAAAATATTAGTAATTTTAATTAACATTGCATTTTTTTTAATTCTCTAAACATTGATTAATCTCTTTATTTCCCCTATTAATCTGTTGTGAGGTATAATAAACTGATACCCTGCAAACCAAATTTAATTGTAATATAATGCTTCTTTTTTTTTTTTTTTAAATTTCTTGAAAATTCCCAAGAAATAGATTATGAATTTTTTAACCTCACCACACAAAAAAAAACTAATGACATACAATATGCTGAATGAGAAAAAAACTGGAGTAATCATATAAAAAGGATAATAAATATACAAAAACTGTTTATCTGTATACAATTTAAAAATGATATGGAAAGACTATTTTATACTGAAATTCACACACCTAAATCCAGGAACGGACTTTCGTAAGAAACATTAATAGCACTGCCACTTACATGATATTTTCATGTTTTTCTAATTGTTGTAAACTGTGATAATGCTAAGATTTTGTATGTCACATCAAACATAACAGTGAAAGTCATGTGTATAAATTTTAAAAAGAAGTTCTTACATTTAAAGCTTAAAAAATATCAATTACATATACTTTCATTAATATCTAAACTAACGACAACATTTTAGCCTAAGTGTTTTAACCACAATAATGTTCACTGGGACCTCAAAATAAATTTCTTGTACGATCATAATAGAAGACAAAACTATACTATTTCAGTTTGAAACAAAAATGTGTGAAACTTTCTGCACCTGTAACTTTATGAATGAGGTTTTCATTATAAATGATTCTAGCCATTTAACACAGATGAATAAAGTATTTAGGTTAAGAACTGAAACGTTTTGCCAACAGACAACTTTAGCTGTACAAAATAACTGTGTATATCGAATTTCACAACCATACATTTAATTTGGAAACCAAGCAATCTTTTTTTTTTTTTAACTTGCACCAGAGCCTAGTCTATGTCAAGTAGCTCAATAAAGCACAGAGAGAAGTAAAATGTTAACATCTGCAAAATTACTATTTGCAACTTCATTAATATCAGGGCAATTAACTGCAGACATATTTGCTAGTAATGTCAGCCAGGCCACATAATGGCGAGTTTACGAATACCATACGATGGAGATATTTTTGCAAATAGTCATGGCAGTTCTGAGAGAAACATTTTTTACAACAACAGATTTTTGAGGGTTATATGTGGAAAGAGTTTTCAACATGGAACACCATAACTTCTTCTCAACCCATTCTTCAAAGAAGTTTTTCAGTGATCCAGTTTAATGTTGGAAGTCTAATGATAGTAAAAAATCAACAATCAGAACCAGTTTTTTGCTAAGCCATCTGCCAGGTTCTTTCCAATAATGCCACAACGGCTGGAGATTTATTGTGAAGTGATGTTATCCACTTCCCCAAAAAAGTCGAGAATAGTCTGGAAGTCAAATTTTTTTTAAGTCAATAAGGAAAACAATATTTGATTCAATTCTCTTGCCAATTTCCTCTACAGCTAAAGGAGCAGCAGCTACTTTGCCATAGTTATTGTATAATTTACCAACAACTCAACTTGAAAAAACTCGATCTTACATTTATCAAGACTCTTGACCAAGGTTTATCAGAAAACCAGGTAAAATTTTATCAGGACCACAGCTTAGGATGGGTCACAGCCATGGGTAAACTGTACATAAATGTATGCAATTTCCTTTATTCTGAGATAATTTCGACTGACTTAACTGTATCAAACTTATCAAACTCATTTATGTTCAGCCAAAGATATATATAACCAAGTATATTTAAAAAAATACATGGGTTTCCTCCAGAGCATGACAAAATATTTTAGAATAATGTCTCGTGCTCCATTACAGGCTGAAGCAATCATTTTCCCCTCACAATCCCAAATTATTTAACATTTGTGACAGACTTTAGTTAAGTTGTTGGTCAATAGATGGTGCCACTAAACTATAAATATTGCTTAGGTAATAAGAGAACGCTGTATATGTTCTTTAGTGACTCCGTAGCCAACTTAAGAGTTAACTCTCCTTATGAATTTTTTTACCTTTTGATTAAATATTTTTTGCCAAATTTGGTTCTTACTGACAAAAATATTTTGGTTTTATAAATATGAATATTAGGTTTTTTTACAATCAATAATTAAAAAATAGCAAATTTTTGGCGGATAATTAAAAAATAATTTCATCCTTAAACAGTTAAGCAAGTCGGTGAATATCTTAATTCCGTTTTATGCTTTCTTAACAGGTGGTCTATAGTTGTTGATACCAATATAATATATACGAGGGCCATCCAGGAAGTAGATTACGTTTTCCGTCTGTGTCCGCTAGGGGCGGGGCTAGCGCGGCCATCTTGGAGTCAGAGCGTTGCGCAGCTCAGTCTGCATCTAGCCGTGCTAGTGAGCGGTTCGTGCTGTGCTCCGTTCAGATACTGTGACGGTTTGAAATGTCTGCGTTAATTGAAAATCCCGCGAGCTGCGAGGTGCGCTCAGTAATAAGGTTTCTGACTGCAAAAAACTGTAAACCGATAGAAATCTATCGGCAGCTTCGTGAAGTGTATGGGGACAACATTATCACTGAAGGTGGAGTGCGTCAGTGGGTCATAAGATTTCAAAATGGCCGAACCAATGTTCACGACGAAGATCGAAGTGGGAGACCCAGCATAGTGACCGCCGAACTTCTCGAAAAAGTCGATGCTAAAGTCCGTGAAAATCGAAATTTCACAATAACGGAACTTTCTTTCTTTGAGTTTCCACAAATTTCGCGAAGTTTGTTGCACGAAATCATCAGCGAAAAGCTTGGTTACCACAAGTTTTTGTGCAAGATGGATTCCAAAAATCTTGACAGAGGACCACAAAATCAGCGAATGGCTGCAGCGTTGAACTTTTGGACGCTTACCATAAGGATGGTGACTCTTTACTCGGTCGCATCGTTACTGGTGACGAAACATGGTGAAACATGTGAACTGTGAAACGAAATTGCAATCAATGCAGTGGGGGCACACAAGTTCTCCCCAAAAACCCAAGAAAATGCATGCTCAAACAATGTCGGCAAGGAAGATTGATGGCGACTTGTTTTTTGGGACAGAAAAGGTGTAATTTTGGTGGACTTCCTGGAAAGAGGCACTACAATAAACTCTCAAAGGTATTGCCAAACTCTCCAAAAACTCAGAAGAGCAATTCAAAACAAGCGCAGAGGAATGTTGAGCTCTAAGATCTTGTTGATTCACGACAACGCCCGGCCCCCCACACGGCAAATGTCACTCGTAAAGTTCTTGAATCTTTTAAGTGGGAGAGTTGTTTCCTCATCCGCCGTACAGTCCCGACCTGGCACCGAGCGACTTCCACTATTCCCAGCAATGAAGAACGTGGCTGGCTATGCAGCGTTTTGATGACGACGCACAGCTGCAAGAAGAGGTAACGAAGTGGTTGAAGGCGCAGGCGGCCGAATTTTTCGACGAAGGAATTTCCAAGCTCGTACATCGCTACGATAAATGCCTTAATTTGTATGGTGACTATGTAGAAAAGTAGTATTTGAGTGTGGCTTTCATCTGTATATAATAAAATTTGTTTCCTATACTTTGTTTATTTTTTTATTCCAAAACGTAATCTACTTTCTGGATAGCCCTCGTATTAAAAGCTCTTGCAATTTCTCTGAAGTAATGAGACCATTTTCCAGAAAAAAGGCTTTACTTCTTTTCTCTGCCTGATCACTGATCTCAGAGAGAAAACAATATTATCTTAAAGACATTTTTATGATAATCCAAGCCCTTTACAAAAGTTTGCAAAGGGGAAAATTTTGCTTCAATAGCCGATTTTAAGATGGCTCATCTTTTACAAAGCTCAATGCACTCAGACTAGCTTCCACTCTATGCTAATCTCAACTCACTAGATTCCATTCTATGCCAATCTCAACTCACTAGATTCCATTCTATGCCAATCTCAACTCACTAGATTCCATTCTATGCCAATCTCAACTCATTTTTCTTTCCATCACTCTAAAATGGGGGAAAACTGTTCACATGCCCTCTGGGAACACATTTTTCTGCACATACAATGATGATTTCTGTAAAATTTCCAGTAATCCTGATAGTATTACCCGATCTAAAAGAATCAGTCATCACATAATCTGCCAAATGCTGAATTTAATCCAATCTGCTTTTATCAAGTTCCAGCTAATAAATCTCAATTCTCTAGGTTTGCTTCGTCTAATAGGTAATAATGCTGAAAGCAGCCTTCGCCCCACTCCATCAGAAGCAAGTAAGAAAATGGTAGCTACAGTACAAAAAATTTAATTTTGTATGATAAACACATATCATGTTAATAACCTACACAAATGCATTTTAGAGAAAATTACACACTAGGCATCTTTTCGACTATTCAGCGAGATAAGATCATGAAAGAGATACAAATAACAGCTCTTTTGATAAATTATGTGCAAAACACTACTTATTTAACATGAAATAAACATTTCCCTGAGATTAAGAATGCATATGCTCAGGAATAAAATGAAGTATTACTTACAGTAGCTCCTGTGATTTTGTATAAATGCACATATGGGACTCTATTCTCTGCATAGCCAACAATGTAACCTTGAACAATCTGTCCTTGCGCCAGTTCCTCAAATGCAGCTGTTACCTCTGGAGACCAACCATTTTCACCTAAAAAGTAATTTTAAAAATATTTATGATCCAACTGAAACTAAATTTAGCTTCATTTAGTAGTTTCCCCCCCCCTCTCTTTTTTAATAGGAACACAAATGTAATTTAATATTAGGCAAAAAAGAAACCTCTGGCATAGATTTTGAAGTAATCTTGGACTCCTGCAGCAGGAAGGGGATGGGGAAGATTTTATTTGGGCTTGTTAGTATTTAAAGATAATGCCCACAGTGGAATTACTTTAAAAATAATTTTATGCTCTTAACTTTAAAAAAAAAAAAAACTAAATAAATACACTACTTTAAAAACCACCAAAAGTGAGAATTTCTGCAAATTGAATTCCTATACTAACTCTGCCATTATGTTCTTCACATGCACAGTTAAATTAATAATGCTACCAAAAAGTGCTTTAAATGAAATTCTGGCTTTATTAAAAGAAAAATTTCCTGTTCTTTAGCCAACTTTTTCTTTATCCTATTTGCATTTTCGACGGAAAAATCATATGATATTTCAATGTACTTTCCACTTAATTTTCCCACTGAAAACACAAATTCTTCTTCAAAAGCTTTAATTGTCTCATGGGATACAGAAAATTTTCCTTTGTTGATACAGTCAAAAGTCGTTAATCCGGACTCGTCGGGACTTCGGCGATTCCAGATTATGGATCATCAGTTTAAATCTGGTAAGATGGCATGCAGAAATTACAAAATTAAAAATATGAAACCGTAGTTTATGAAATAAAGAACAATTATGATCTAAAGGGTATCAAAATTTACAAAAAGAAAAAACTTAATATTTTACTTTATTAAACATTTCTTTCAATGTAAGTTGTTTCGTTTCATGTGATAATACTTTCTCTTTAATTCTATTAAACAGACATAATTTCTTGTTTAGTTACAAAGTTCCGCTGTTCAAGTCCTATAATTGCTGTGTTGAGAATACCGACTAATTTGTCAATCAAATGTTTTTGTTTTCAATAACCTCTGGGTCACTTTCTTCACTATCAGAAGCGAATTATAATGACGAGGAACTTGATTTAAATCATATCAAAGACGGAGTACATCGAGATGAAATACTACACTTAGTAAGGAATTATAAGCCAAATAAAATAAAAACATCTGCCCTGAAGATAAGCATAGTGCTGGCAGATCAACTTGCGTGCCGCAGCGTGAAATTGATAAACAGATTTCGGATTTCGAAACATACTTTAGCTTTGTGGATCCTTTACATATTAATAAATATATATCGGAAATTCTATTTAACATAATCGAAAGTTCATGCTTACTTTTATAAAATTGCTCTAACAGTGTGCAAAAAATAATAAGCCGGATCCAATTCGAAGATTAAGGAACAACACAATCTGCAACATTAACTAAATTATAATTTTAGCTTAGCTTATACCGTCCGTTACACATTAAACGTGCATGCGCACAAGCATATTCCTGGGCGTAAAGGTCTTACGCGCTCTCGTAAACGCCTGTGTGCATGCGTGAATGTGACGCATGCGCAGAAAGTTTGTAGCTTTGAGGTCCGGATTATAGATCATTCCGGATTATGGGTGTCCAAATTAACGACTTTTGACTGTATAACATAGTATTGGTTAAAATGAAATTCTCTTGAAAAACTTCCAGATTAAGCATCACAGTATTTCTCACGTGGTAGCATGTTTTGCTCTTATTTATTTATGCATTTAACAAATTCCATTACTTTTTCATAATCACAGTTTTACAGGATTTATTAAAAATTCTGTAATGCCCATCATTTTAAATTTAAAAATTAAAATAAAGTTAGATCAAAGAGATATAGGAGAACATCAGAGCAATTACTCTTTCCTTTATACAATAACTCAAAGCATTTTTAACTTCATTACTTATGTGTTTCAAGTTGTTAAGCATGAATTTCAACATATCAACTTTCATAACAAAGAATTTCAGTATAATTTTTAACACTAATGACATATGAGAAAAACTTCAGTTCATTTCCTGAAAAATTTGCATCTGATTTTAAACTTATGAGAATTTTTCTAACAAAAATATCACAGTTAAAAACATTTACATGGATTATGTGAAAATCAGCTCAGCTTTATCATCATGCAGATATATATAGATCACACTGATATGTTTGAGTTTAAAATTAACCAAAATAATGATTATTGAAAGAATCCTTATTCTGGTAATGATTATTGAAAGAATTAAAGCAACAATCCAAAAAACGATTATTGAAAGAATTAAAGCAACAACAATCAACATAATATTAATAAACTTGCAGGACTATTTTTGAACATTTAAATTTAGAACCTCAACTCCAGAAATGCAAATGGCAAAGAAAAGCCAGTGATGAGATAATTGATAAACCAGTGATTTAGAATGAGAGAAAGGAAGTCAACTGTTTAGAGCTAATCAAATTTGAATAAAAATTACATTCCAAATAATGGTTATTGGAGGAGTTTAAGCAATAATAATCAGTGTAATATTTATAAATTTGTAAGACTTGTTTCGAAGGTTTAAAAACAGAACCTTCTTCAGCTGCAGAAGAGCAAGTGATTAAAAAAAAACCCAGTGATAAGGCAATAAGAACGATTACTTTTTCTCCTCATCTCTTGCATTACCGTATATATGCATTCTGCTTATAGAAAAATCAACCCAATTATCTGGTCTTCCCCCTACTTAGTACGGAAAACTGAAAGTGTATCATATTTCAACTCATGTGTAAAGCAAGTAAATTGCTTTACATGCAAGTACTTCAACTCAGCATGTAGCGAGGTGAGATAAAAGTTACATATGCACTCGGTAGCTTTCCTGTTTGAACTAAAAACGTTTTACACATTTTGGGGCAGTTATTTTTTCCGATTGCACAGAACATTTTTTTGATAGCTGACTTTTAAAAATCTTTTAAAAAATATTAAAAAAAATAAAAAATTACCATCAAGGAAAGTTACACTTCCTAAATAACACTCTGTAGCTTGAAATGGCACCTGCATGAAATCAATTCTGAAAGATAAAAGAAAAATTTATTACAAAAATAGTTTACATGATATACATTAAGATTGCTCATATTATTTTTGCTAGATAAAAGTTTAATTTTAAAATTTATACAAAATACTCCATCACTGTTAAATATCTGCATAGGTCCTGATACCAAACATTTTCCTCAATCAATACAAGAAAGTTTACTGAAAATATTTGTTACAAGTTGTGTTGAAAGTTTGCCGATACGAAAATTCAACAAATCAAGGAGGGATCTTACAAAACTGGTAACACAGAATTTGTAATTTTGAACTAACTAAATGAAAATAATGCTAATATGTGTATAAATTCTGGTCTCCATTTTTATCAACATTGTAGAAATTCATGATATTCTTGTGCTAACTCAACAGATGGGAGTTCATTAAAAGATTGTTGCAAATACTGAGATGAAATCTTAACCTTTTCTAAAGAATGAATCTGAAAATAAAAATACTATTATTTTCTTAAACAGAAATCAAATATTTTTATATGTTGTGTCAATCTAACTTTTTACATAAAAAAGATCTGCAGTTATCCAAATAGGAAGCTTGCCTGTTTTCTAATAATTCATGAGATCAATTTTGAGACACTCAGTGTGATATTCTGAAATATAATTGGAAATGAAAATTAATAAATGCAGTAGTCACCAAACTACAGTGGCCTAAAATACTGAGAGCAGTTTAAATTATACTGAGGAACAAAATTAATAAAAATATCTAAATATTATAATCACATATACCATCAAAACTTATTCGATAGGTCACTCAGATAGAGTCCACTCTACTTACTGGTAACCTTTTCTCTAATCTATTCCTATTCCATTTTCATGTACTGTATAATGATTATGAAGTCGCTTTTGGGATGATGAACTTAATGAACAAGTTACATTCAAATTTGTTCAAGTTGCATACACATAATTTAGGTACGAAACTTTCATGTTAAAATAATTATCTCCAAACAAATTTACAATAAAATAAAACTTGAAAAGGATATATAGAAAAAACAAAATACAAATAACAAGATATTACCTGATCTGTCGTAAGACAGTACGAGGAACGATTGCATATCCTCCATAGTCTAAAAACTTCAGTCTGCATTCACCCGTATCTTCGAAAACCTCATCAATTTCTGCTCTGTACCAACCATCTAGACCTGGTACAGAGCAGTCACTAAGTCTAGCTACACATACATAACCTGTAATTGAAATATAAATAATAAATAGCATTTTATAAATAACAAATAATGAAATATAAATGATAAATAACATTTTGCTAAGAAAATAAATGCATCCAACATAATTTAAATTCCTATATTTAGTTTAATTCTCAGCAAAAAAGAGAGTATAAAAACAAACCTTTTGCAAGGTAACTAAGGGTTGGCGTATTTGTCTCTGAATAAAAAGCAGTCATCTGTTGTGTCATAGCTAGTAGAGAATGGAAAGTAGGATGAGTAGGTTGCTGAAGGAAGAAGTGCCCAGCATTTACAGTTGCACAAAGCATTGCTTCAAATGAACCACCTTCAGGAAGACTAAGCTGGAAAAAAAAATATTTAAATTTTATACAACTTTCCCACACAAATATCTCATCACAAACTACTAATTTTTCACAAAATTTAACAGGAAGCAAAATGCCAACATTCATTCATTATAAAAAGCATTTACAGTGATCATTTACATGAATTTAACAGCATTTGTTGCATAGTAATTTTAAGAGAATTTAACTCAAAAGTGGTACGCCTAATAATAATTACAACAATAGAAAAATTAGAAAAAACAACAAAGAAAGAGAAATTATCTGGTATTTTCTTCCAACGTCAATTATCCTTCGCTTTATTTTCCCAGCTGTAAACAATAAGAAACTGAAAGGAGACTTTTTAATATAGTAAATGTGTGTAATACAGAAAACTAAAATAAGGATTTAAGGGTCTGGTGTTGTGAGTGTTTGAAGTTGTAAATAAAAAAAAAATCTACTAGAATTTGGCCCTTTATAAAACTTTTCTTAAAGAATAAATAAAAATTTAAAAAGGACACAAAAGCAATTTCCTTTTTGATTTTTTTTTCCCAGAGAAATATATATTAAACATACTAAATCAGAAATCAAACAACAAAAATCGGCGTTATATTTTCAAATTTTCACAGGACTCGTTTCAATGGTTTTACCGAACCACCATCCTCAGCTGCAAAAGCGCAAATAAACGAGATAGGATGTAATGATTAGATAAGACAAGAAGGCCTGGATAGAAAATAAGCTAGTGGCACCATATGTTGATGAAACCAGAACTAAAACATAATTTCTTTAAAGGCCAAAGGCAAAGATGGATTGGAATTAGGATCGGTAACTAGAACAGAAAATGTTTTTGAATGTGAACTGCCTCTAAAAAATCCAGTTCTCCAATTGAAGATGTTTTTTCATGGTTTCTTTTGATGTAAAATCATTATTCACCAATGTTCCAGTGGAGGGTGCATTAAGATGTCTAGAAACCAGACTTCGTGAATTCCATTTCTCTTGCATCGAAATCGATGAGCTAATTTCTCTCCCTCAACTCTTTGACACAAACACATTTTGTTTTCCAAAATAAATATTACAAGCAAACTGAGGGATTAGTAATGGGAAGCCTCCTCAGTCCCATCTTGGCTGATATCTACATGCATTATTATGAATCAAAATTATTTGAAACTTTAAACTTCCCGGTATGGTTCCGCTATTGTAGACGATACTTTTACCCTGTTTGAAGGTAATAAAGATGATTTAAATAAAGTTATTTCAACAATGAATTCTACTGATCCTGTTATTCAGTTCACTTTTGGAACTTGAGACTTAAAATTCTCTTTCTTTTCTCGACATTCTGGTCACACGTACACATCCAACTTCAGTACTACGGTTTACCATAAACCTTCATCAGTTTGCCTTCCACCACACTTTAAATCATGTCATCCGACTACACAAAAGTTAGCTTAATTTTATTCCTATGTTTTCCGTGCTCTTCAAGTTTGCTCCTCCAAAAATTTTTATGTAATACAGTAGTACCTCCTGCAAGGGACATCTCCTAATTAAGAGGCAATTCTGTTGGTCCCAGTCCCATTAAATAGGGAATGTAATGTATTTACCTTTTACCAAGGGACATTAAAAATCAGTTTCAAAAATAAGATAGAAGTAGAGAAATGAATAAAAATAGAAATACTCTTTGTTAGTAATCTTTTGCGGTTTCATAGGCAGATTTACACTCAGTGAAAGATAGTTTTGTGACAAAGGAACAATCAAAATTTTGATTTGTGCAATCAAAAAAAAAAAAAAAAATACTTCACATTCACTGAATTAAAAATCCAGTTATTCTTTCTACAGTTCTCAGTAGGGAGAAGAAAACAGTGTCAGCAAATTGTAAGGCAATCCATAAGAGGACCAATGGGAAAGAAAATATGGTGAGATGACTAGGCCACCAGCCAAGGAACATGAATCTCAGAATGTGGTAGAGTAAAAACTTCTATCATTCTTAGTTCCTGCGCCACTAGGAAGACAAAGACGTGCAGTTTTGTACTTGTGTGTTATTTATCATAGCTTCAAAGAGGAAAAGATTAACATTCAAACAAAAAAGTTGAATTAATTCATATAACAGAAACTGAAAAACTCAGTTTGAGAGATTTAGAGCTAAAATTTGGAATAAGTAAAAACCAAGTAAGTCATCTGCTAACGGATAAAAAAGAAATAAAATTACTATGAATTACTAATTCAAATGACTATTCCAAGACTGTAAAATTTAGAAAAACAGAAGCATAGAAATTGATACATTAGTGTTCAGCTGGTTTTGTTCTGTAAGAGCAAACAATATTCCTGTAAGTGGAGTGTTATTGCAAGAAAAGCCAATAGAAGTTGTGGAAAGTCTGTGACTATAGAACTTCAAAGAATGAAATGATTGGTTAGACAAATTTAAGCAAAAACATGACATTATTTTTAAGACTATTTGTAATGAAGAAAAGTTAGTACATGTAACAGACTGGATAAAAAAGCTAAATGAAATTTGTAAAGGATAAGAGGCTAAGAACATCTACTAAAGATGAAACTGGATTATTTTATCACATTTTGTCGAATAAAACTCTATGCTTCAAAGCAGGAAACTCTGGTCATAAACTCCGAGGAACATCTCACTGTGTTACTTTGTTGTAACATTGAAGGAGAGTTTGAACAACTACTTGTAATTGTGAAAACCAAAAAAAAACCAAGTGCTTCACACACATCAGTCCAAAATCTTTATCAGCCCAATGGCATACCATAAAAAAATCATGAATGAAGCAAAGCATAATGTTAGAATGGTTGATTGCTCTTGATAAAATACTGTCTAAAAAAATAGGAAGATCCAGCTATTTCTTGACAATTTTCCAGCCCATCCACCAAATATTATGAACAAGCTGAAATCAGTGAAATTACTGTTTTCCCACCTAATGCAGCATCAGTATTATAGCCTTTGGACCAAGGTCAAGGTTAACAAGGTATAATTAGAAGCTCCAAGTTTCATTACAGAAAACTGTTTTTACGGCATTTTCTTTGTCAAACTGCTTGCAGAAACTGTGATCAGCTTGCAAAACGTTTCAATGTATTGAATGCCATTCAGTGGATAACAAAAGCTGCTAAATCGATATCACAAAGTTGTGTTTGGCACTGTTTTAAGAAAGCATGCTTTGAAATTCCGAGTGCCCTCAGTGAAAATACTACTGATGAAAATGAATTGTTTCAACTTGTCAAAATCAGTGACAGTACTCAAATACAAGAATATTTAAAAATCGATGAACACTTGTATACTGAAGAGATCAATGACAACACAAAATCTTATTTCAACTACAGTGAGATGATGCAAGCCTTAAAATAATAAAAATAGCTTGACAAAAATAGTTGGAAAGCAGTGAGGAAGATTAACAAAAGACAGACAAAAAGTGATATAAAAACTATACAGATGCCTAAAAATACCCAATTAGATCTCCCAATTAGAACACAATTCAGTATTTGTTTTCATGTGCATAGTTATAATTTAACATTTCACATGTTCGATTTATTTCTATTAATGTGATATTCTTTATATTAATATATAATAAGAATTAGTATATTAAGTAACTTCAAAACGTGGGGTCATTATTTTTGTAAAATTGCGCTTGAGTGCTGAAAATCCGTGGGCCGGAGGTGACGTTACATTTTGCAGGGTTCGGTCTCCTGACTTGCACTTCATTCTGTGCATGCTGGTTCTCAATGGGTTAATCACCTGGTTTTGTTGTTTTAAATTAATTTTCTGCACACTTATTCATAAAAAAAAACATGAATTATTTTATATTTGCATTAAACGCATTATTTTTATATCAAGTCACAATAAAAAATTTTAATTCCTATACTTTCCTGATAAAGTGGCAGGAATTACTGCCAGATGATACCACTGGTGAAAAATGCATCCTATGATATAATGACAACACTAGTGATACATTCATACTTGAAAACGTAATTATGGTTAATTGAGCAAAGTCTTTTATTATTATGAAAAATTCCTTTTCCTGAAGGGATTTAATGGTATATTTCTCATCACTTAACTATTAGGGATTTAATGGTATATTTCTCATCACTTAACTATTGCCAAAATTATAAAATTCACCTGAGATACACTGTCAAAATCTTACATGGAAAATATCTCCGAATCAAAATATTTTCAGTTTACAATGTTTAGAGTGCTCTTCGTGGTTCAAGATTACTATCTTTGGCATGCTTGTGCACATCTTGGTTTTTGCACCATAAACAGAAGATTTTTAAAATTTAAATTACTGAAGTCTTGTTAAAATAGCACAAGATTAATCCTCCGCTAGAATTTAGAAAGTATCACAGAAGCAACAATAATATATGGTAAGTTTCTTAAGTACTCGATGAGCCAACCTATCTCTGGTAATTTGCAAATGTTGCCGAAAATCAGAAAATCTATGCACATTTCACCATCATTCTTCTTTTATTATACAAATATCCTTAAACCTAAATGTTATAATACAGACCTATAATAAATTTTTAGTTATTTTATTGTTGAACAAAATAAATTAACGAAATTTTTAAAAAAAAAGTTTATAAACAATGTACAAGAAAATGAACTTTACCACAGAAAAAACAATAAATAAATCATGAATACAAAATCTGTTATAATCACTGTGAATAATTTGACTTGAATAAAATAACTAAAAGCACTTACCTTCCAACCTTGAGGTAACTGAAATTCAAATGGCATAACATTTATTTGAGCTAAAGTAACAGAGGGATACAGCTCAACAGGAAAGCGTTTACGAATAAGTTTTAATGCAGCATCGATTTCATCTTGGGTACCTAAGGAAAGAATATAAGAAAATTTTAAAATATTTTCTATGAGAAAGGGGAGCAAAAGCTTAAATATGCTTTAAGGTTTCACCTTCATAAGTTTAAGAATTAAGGGAAGACATCAATACTTTTAATGCTTTAAACTATACACATGAAACATTTTTACAGAAAAATTCTCATATTTTAGTCAAATTCATCTATACTACAGATTCCAATGTCAGTCTGAAGTTCAATTTAATCTTTTACACAGCTTTCACATGTTACTAACATGGCACAATACATGCCTTCAAGGTCACTGGCGAACGATTCCAGCACCATTACTAGATTACTGTTGACACACTGCACTATATTTACTTAATCGCTCATTCTTTTCCCACATGCCTCACAAGGCCTCTTTTAAAAGATCCATACTGTGTATATGAAAGATAAAATTATATGCTAAGGACAATTTAATTTGTTATAGTCCCACTTCTTTTTAGTTTCTGTATTTTCCTTTTTCATCCTAAAAACTAATTAACTGCTTACAATAAATCACTCTAAATAGTATCATTTCAAAATTCTGAAATTTATCATATGATTCTTATGTAATACGCATAACGTAGATATTTAAATAATATTTCAGACAAAATGATCTCAAATTTGGGTACCAAAACTTAATCTACAGGAACAAACATCAACTGACACTAAATCATTCTGTACCAAATTTCCATCTTAGACACATATATTATTTCTCAGGGTGAATTATTTCTCATGCTGTCACTCTGAATACTTCTTTGCCTTTCATTACTATCAACATATTAACATATGCCGCTCAGTCTGTTTTCAAATATATCTTAAAAAATCTATAAGGTACCAATGTAATTCCTCAAGAACAGATTCATTTTTTGCGGCAAGTTATTTGTAGTTCCATGCGTCAAAAATAAAAAAAAATGTTTTAGCCTAGATGAGAACTACTATTTTTATGCATCAACGTCTAAATGATTACATTTTATCAGAAAAGAATGCAGGACTGTTTGATGAGCCTTTTTGTCAAATAAATATTTTTATGCTTCACGCCTCAATAGAAAATTTATCTATGGAACTGAATTAACAGCTGTCCTAAATAATACGATGAGTTCAAGTGTCCTCATATACCATCAGATAAAAAAAAAAAAAGAAATGCAAAAAAAGATCCATTATCATCATCTGTGATTAAATACATTAAAGATCTGATAATCCAGTGCTTCAAAATTCAGCATTCCAGTGTTTCAAAGATCAACCTTGATGTTTACTAGAATGCACTTTTTCAGCTGCCAGTGGGATGTTTTCTCACTTGCACTTGCACTTTTCATGATACAGTTCCTCATAAAAAAAAAAAACTCAATACTGTGATCTTCAAGTCAACAAAATTACACTTTTTTTCTATAATACAAAACTGATGCTATGCAGTAGGTTTTTAAATTGTCAAAAAGTAATAAAAACACAATTAAATATGTTGAATTAAAACCTACACCACAAATGGTTTAGTCCCAGATGGCACTATCACCGAGTCTTTGTTTATGTTTGGTTTTGTATCGATTACTGGACTTCATTTCAAAAAGGCGCGTCTTGGGTTAAGACAAAGAAAGGGAGGTGGTGGACATGGCTCCGACACTCTTGACTTGATGGTTGGAGGTATGCTGTTCAAAGCTCCTGCTGTTTTTGGAAATGCTGTAACATTTTCTTATGTGCACAAGCAACTTGCATAAATAAATTCTAATGTTAATCTGTATAATGCTATATCTTATTTTATGAATATTTAACAATCATTCTAATATGGACATAACATATAATGCTAAAGTTTCTTTCACAGGTGGTAGCATGTACATAATGGAAAAAATACTTACATTTCTATAAATTTGAATCTGATTCCGTTGAATATATAAATTGCTTAAAAATATGTAATCATTTTCATAATTTCATTTAATAGTTTGGAATTCATTGACTTTGTAGGTTAATTTAATTTTATATTTTTGCTTGTTATATACACTGAAAATCTTCCATTACTATGGAATAAGCAATTTATTCATTAATTAATGCAGCTAGAAATGTTTTAAGTAATCAGAAAATTGCTAATTATTTTTTCCTACTGAATTATAAATTTGAATGTGTAATGCTGTTTTTATGAAAATATCAAATTAAAATTTTACATCATTAGAAATTTAAATTTCACTATTTATGTTGGATAAATTTGACAGAAATTAAAATATTTTTTTTCAAATATTTCAGTTCCAGAAGATTAGTAAAATTTAATGTATTAATAATTCTTGATTATTGTTAAAACTTTTGAATTATGATAAGACTAAATAAATTTGGAAAAATGAATACTCAAATAATATTGAATATTGCTACAAAAAATATAAAAATTGTGTTTTTGAGTATTAATATAGAAATGTTAAATGTTTATGGTATTAAATATGGTTACAATAAATATAGAAACATTTATAAAATTGAATAAAATTTAATAAAATCATTTATGTGCAATTAAAAAGTAGAATGTATAGGAAAAAGTAATTTGAAATTATGGACAGTGAATATTATAATTGAAGTCCGCTAACGCGTCGCACAGTAGCACTGCAGGTCAGCGTTTGATCCCTGGGCTGGGCAAGGTTGACTCAGCCTTTCATCCCTTGAGTGAGTACATAAAATGAGTTTGCTTGGAGAGTAAACGTCAGGGGTCCTGCGACAAGCTAACCACTTGTCCAGGGCATATGTTCATGCACCCCAGGGCCCACAGTCAAGAAAGCAGACATCATGGCACTGAAGGCCATAAGGCCTAAGGGCTATTGTGCCACTGAGTTTAGCTTTAGAATATTATAATTATATAATGAATAACTGAATAAAGAATATTGGTCAGTGAAGGTTACATAATGAACTACTGAATAAAGTATGTGTGTATGTGATTATGGAAAAGCCTCAAGGGCTATCTGCCTAATGGGAGAGCTGCCTTTGTAAAGGACTTCCTAAGGGAAACTCACTCGTATACACATTATACATGAGGAAAACCACAAAAACACCCACTACTGAATAAAGTAACTTGCAGGTAACAGTGTTTAAGGATTAGTACAGTCAAAAGTCGTTAATTCGGACACCCATAATCCGGATTGATCTATAATCTACAAAGTGATTATCTACAAAGCGAAAGTATGTTTTGAAATCCGAAATCTGTTTATCAACTACACGACGCGGCGTGCAATGAATTGGAAGTTGATCTGTCAGCACTATCCTTATCTTCAGAGCAGATGTTTTTATTTTATTTGGCTTCTAATTCCTTATTAAAAGTAGTATTTCATCTCGATGTACTCCGTCTTTGATATGATTAAAATCAAGTTCCACGTCATTATAATTCGCTTCCGATAGTGAAGAAAGTGACCCAGAGGTTATTGAAAACGAAAAAATTTCGATTGACAAATTAGTCGGTATTCTCAACACAGCAATTATAGGACTTCAACAGTGGAACTTTGTAACTAAACAAGAAATTATGTCTGTTTAATAGAATTAAAGAGAAAGTATTATCACATGAATTGAAGCAACTTAAACAACTTACATCGAAGAAATGTTTAATAAAAGTAAACAAATAAATAATAAGCTTTTTTTTGTAAATTTGATATCCTTAGATCATAATTGTTCTTATTTCATAAATTACGGTTTCATATTTTTAATTTTATAATTTCTGCATGCCATCTTACCAGATTTAAACTGATGATCTATAATCCGGAAAAATCAATAATCCGGAATCGCCGAAGTCCGGACGAGTCCGTATTAACGACTTTTGACTGTACTACAAAATGTAGTACCTCTAATTGTGTCTTTTATCTTCTTATACAAATAGAAGTTGAAGGCTAACATTTTTAGAAACGAATATAATATTCTCATAGAATTTCATTATTATCATGCAATGTTTTAATGCAGTTTCCAAAGGCCAGTTACTTTAGACAAGAAATGGAGGTCTTTTCTACACAATGCTCTATCAGCCATTATAAAAAAAAAAATTTAAGAACAGCATTAAAAACTATGCTTTCCCACAGAAGGTCCAGCACAGGAGATCTTTCTTTGTACTTGTACATGAAATATACACACACATATGCACCACACATATACAAAAAGGATAATAACAAATGCATTTCATTTAATCAAACTAAATTATTATCTGCAGTAATTTGAATTTCTTATTTAAAATGCTGATAATATTTTACAATTCTATCTTCCATAATATGAAAATAATACAAATATAATCATCACACTAGCATGATCAAGAATGCACTACAATAAGCATATAATGTGAAAAGTACATTTACAGTAATTAGTGATGCTTAGGTAACAACTAAGATAAATTTACACATAAAATAACAAATTTATCTGCAACTCAGAAAACATACAAAGCACATGTACAACAAAGTTATAAATAAAGGTAGTATTAATAAAGAAAAATATGCCAAATAAACAAAAGTCTATCTAGAAATAATTGTATACTGAAATTTGCTCAAACAAGTCTGGTATTTTAAAAAGATGTTCTTACCTGTAACAGAACATACTTTCTTTTCAGAAAAGTATGGATGGCGTTTAATCAAAATATTTGCATTAGTCTCTTCCTTTATATAATTAACATGTCTTCCATTTCTTCCTATTAGCAGCCCACATAACTCTTGCAATATTTCAAATTCATATACCACATAAATTTGCTGAGGCTCAAGAACAAATTGGAACTCACTCCCACCTTTGCCACTGTCATTTGAACCCTAAAAAATAATTTAAAATTATCAGCACAGAGAACATGTCTATGAAATACATACAAGGAAAAAGATTTTCTTCACAAAATGACAAATGGATAAAATAACAAAGGAAAAATGAAATAAATTCATTTGTTTTGGGACATGAAATGAAGAATTCGTTCATTTTCGGATATACATTGGATAACTGCTGATAGGCAACACTATCACCCACTGCAACCGTAAAATGAAAAGAAAATTGGAAAATTTGGAATAAGTGCAGGATACAGCAAGAAGAGGTATGCATGTGAAAAGTTTTATTTCCACACCTGTTCATCATGTGACAGCTGATAAAAAATTTAAAGGATTTGATGCATGTGGGCAGTTATTACACCAAGTGAAAGTTTTGCGTAAAAGCTACAGCTGACAACTGTGAACATTTTGCTATATCTTTCCAACGTCACTTAGATGATTTTATGCATGGGTTCACTGTCAAGATCGACGAAGGCAAAAAATAACTGATGTTGTTAGGGAGTTCAACATCACCCACAGTATTGTTTCATGGCTCTGAAAAGCACTTAAAAGAATTGAAATGTGTAGGGGGAGGTCATGTTAAATGTACAACTCCTTCAGGAAACAGGTATGTTACTCTAATGGCAAAAAGAAACTGCTGCATCACAGTTCAGAAGGTGTTGAATGAATTTCTTGCTGCCAATAGTAGATCTCCTGAAAAACTGTTGTCATACATTTATGGGTGAAGAAGGACTCTATGTCCAAAGATATACTGTGTGTGTTCTAATGAACAGCCAGCACCAGTTATTGTCAATTGCAATGCTCATGACACCTTGCAATGGTGTCCTGAGGATTGCAATTGAAATGAACCAGACTGGGCTTGTATACCGTTCTCAGATGATAACAGATTCAGTCAGTCATTGGGCTGCAGATGTTAACAATTCTGGTGTTAGTGTGGTCCTGCTTATCATCCAGAAAACACCATGGAAAGACACCGATATCCAAAATTCAATATTAGAAGCCACCATCACATACGCCCCTGCAGGTGGTTGCAACTAGGACTATGCTGGCCAGCGATACATTGATGAAGTTCTACAGTCTCATGCTCACCTTTTCCGGGTGCTTTCTGTTTTCATGGACAATAATGCACTACGTCACTGAACACTTGCTGTTCAGGATTATCTAGACAGCAAGAATGTTCAGTGCTTTATACAGTCAGCACCTTCTTTAGATCTATTTTTTAAACCTCATTGAGAAAGGTTTCAGATGGTCTAAAGAGGTAATTTTGCTGGTCAAAAATACCCTGCAAGGAACAAGCACATCTTCATCATACACTGACAAAAGAGTGGGATAAATGTCTCAACAGCTGCTGGATAATGTTTTGCAAAACATGACTGAATGAGGAAAATTGCATCATAGTTTACTGTGGACAAATCCTGTCTTGATAATGTCTAATAAATACAAAAAATTACTGTATTAAGTAATAAAGTGTCTTCCTTAAGAATTTACTCAGATCAGAGAGGAGGAAAGCAGCCTTGTTGGAGTTTTGCCATGAGGGTAAATGGGGCATGTGCCCTAGACCTCCATTTTGAAAGTGGCCTCCAAATCCTTCTACAGTGTTCAAGACAAAAATATTGTGCATTTTTCAAGTCTAGGTTTTACAGTTATAAAATTAGAAGCAGAATTAACATGAATGATTCATACTTAAATTTGTCATATCTTTCTTCAAAAATCAGATTCTAAGCCCATAAAATTACTCAGAAATACATTACAGGAAAAAAAAAAAAAAAAAATTAAGGCTTAAAACTTTAACATTCACATATTGCTGAATTAAGAGATGACATAATTTTTTAAACAATTAATTCCAAGATTAATTTGTGTGATGGTAAGGATATAAATATGAGAGAATGGCCAATCAAAAGAAATTATCTTTATTAAATCTATCTTTTATTAAATCTACTAAAATGATAAATAACTGCAGTAATTTGGTCATATCTTTATAATTATTTATTACCTTATTTAAGATTTACAGCAAAGCCAATAAAAATTCTTTAGCCACCCCCTTTTTTTAAATTAATTTCAGAGAAAAACAGGATCCTGTTTTAAAGGATGTAAGTTTATATTTGAACAACGCATATTAAACTGAAACTATGAAAACAAAATTAAAAAAAGAGATAGGTACTTTGTTTAAACAACTGAATGAAAAATATTGAATTACACAATTATTTATGAAATACTTCAGATGTAATAACAATTTACATCAGTGAAACATATTTTATATGAAATAATCAGCATCAATGACACTCTAGAACACTGCAAAACCTATAGGGAGGAAGATCTCTGAAATATGGTTTTGTCCCAGGCTTCCACTTCTATAAATTGGATCCTACTTAAGGAGGTTGTCATAAAGAAAGTGATAACCATACTGCATTTTACAGTGAATGTATTATTCGATGGACAATGGCTAAAAATTATAACTGCTCCCATTCATCTAGAATTTAAATAATTCATACCTCAACAATATCATCTTTCCTCTCTTAAAAATACTCTACTTAAAACATATTCACCTTATAGTCAAGAATGCTGTGTTAACCTTCTCACTGACTATTTCCAATTTATCAAGTTCATTGGGGCAACTTACATGCACTTCTTTAAAAAAAAAATCTCCTAAAATGCAATGTTTTGGGGACATATTTTAAAGGGGGGGGGCTTTTCAGTTATCATTTATTTTCAATTTTTAAAACTAGGTGAATTTTTTATTTCCATGCCTCTCACGCACTTTCAAAATTTTCATAACGTTTCTTTATGATACCATTATCACACAGTAAAGGAAATCAATTTTATGATTCAACCTGTGGAAATCACAGCCAGCAGGGCATATTCAGAGAAAAAAGCCATTATACGATAGAACACTTTAAACTACATATAATAAATCGATTTTCTATACATCGGCAATCCCGATACTATCGATGCCGGATACAAGTGGCATTCCACAGGAGATCAATCACATCGAAGAGTTTTAGCGATCACGCTGCCATTCACTGGGAGCAAAAAATGCTGCCGAACGCTTATTTTTCACATATGTTTTAACGAAAGATGTCAAATAAAAATAGAAATGGATTACTCATTCAACAACATAAATTAAAAGAAAAAGAAAATAAAATACTTCAACAGAAAAAGCGAAGGGAAGAAGAGGGTTTACGTGATGTAATACTTCTAACTTCTCGTTCTGGAAAATCGTGACGAAAAGGTTGCAGGCCAAGAAGATCCGCTGCCAAATATTACATCGACCCCAGGTAGAAAGAATGGGGGGAGGGGGGAAACAGAGGAGAAATAAATAAAAGAGGTAACATCCCCAAGAAGCTTTAAATATCCCTGTTAAGTTGTACAACTACTTTTCTTTCACATAAATATTTGAATTCAGATGCACTACACGACATTCTGGTACGTATACAAAATAATCAGCGCACTAACGATCAAGCGAAATTTACATACACAATCTTACATTGATGAAATAAATTTCAGAAAGGCTAGCCCTTCAGCAGACGCAGTGTGGTCCGTTTACTCGACAGGTGCAGCAGAGCCACTATCTACATGTAAATCCCAAGCTCTTTCAGCTTGTAAATAATTTTCAGTCGATAACGCGTTGTTTATCAGTGAGAGAACACATGAAAAAAGCTCGTTTTTAAACAGTACGAGTATACTCGTCATGCGTATATCATGTTAATGAAATGGAAAAATAAGAGGAAGGTTTATTTAGTAAGTACTGTACACAATGACAACGTAATAGAAAGAGAGAAAAGAAAAATAATAACAAAGAAACCGGAGCTAGTGACTGATTATAAAAAAAATGGCTTGAGTGGATATGAGCGATGGAATTATCATAGCGTACTCCACAGCAAAAAAACGACTCAAAAAGTACTACAAAAACATATTTCTCCATTTCTTAGACATTATGTGTCTGAATGCATTCACATTATATTAAAAAATAATAGACCTTATCGCGTATCAACTTTTTGCTCAAATTTATTGAAAACGCTTTTGCGACGTATCCTATCGAAAGAAAGAAATCGACACAAACTCGGCCATTTAAGACCTAATATAAGCCAATTAGGCGGGAATCATGTTCCGAATTATATACCAGAACATCGAAAAAAAAACCCTACGCGAAGGTGTTCGCATTGCTACAAACGTAAGATCAGGAAGGAATCGCGTTACTGGTGTTCGATTTGCAAAGTCCCATTGTGTATAATACCCTGTTTCGCTGAATACACTCCACAGCAGGAATTTAAATTCTTGCTTTTATTTTATTTTTTTTATTTTTTTTTTAGCTTAATATGTATGTAATATATGCTTATGTTAACCAAATAAGTAAATATTAGTAATAAAATTTGCAATTTTTATAAAATAAACCCATCTTTTTCATCCAATATCTTACACCAGGGCAACTTACTCTGTGATTGACGAATATACTCGTCATGGCTCGATTCTACGGACACAAAACGGTGCGCACTCTTAAACGAGGGCGCTACAGTTAACTGGTTAAATTTACAAAACATGATGGGATGGTCAAAAGAATCCCATTAATCACATCGCACATAGTTCTTTGTTTCTTGAAAAAGCAAATAAATTTACGCAAGCACGAAAGAGGACGGGGGGAACATATTTCGCAGGTGTTTTATTCAATATATTATGCTAACTGTTGCAAGGACAACAATTAAATAGGGTACAGGATTATTTTCGTTTGAATTATGATTAATTCGTTGAATCTCGTTATAACGAATCTTCGTATCGAAAGGAAAAACGAACGTTAAAATGAACAATGTTTTCAGTTTAGAATACAACTACACTAATGTCGAGTTTAAAATTAAACAATCTTAAACTGGCGTCAATTTCGAATAAACACTACACCAAAATTTTATCGAAATCCCAAAATGTTTTGCATCTTCAGAGATGGCAACTACCTCTAATCATCTCCAAAATCGACAATTTTATTCAATCTATAAAAATCGTAGTTT